CTCGCCTATCTAGTCATTTCGACCACTCTAGGTGGCTTACAACATACAGGATAACAAGTTCAAGAAAAATTTGTAACAATTAATTAATATGCCATAGGATCTACTGTCTGCCCCACCAACGTTTGCTATTCCAGTTGGAGATGCTCAACCTAGTGAATGGCCATGACCAACTTTAACGTCAACTGAAAATTCACAGACTTTGGTTGTACACCCAGAAACAACATCTGGCTGTGTTGACTGTGTTTACATCATCCACACTGGTTCTGCAGAAGATATCAATTCACCATGGTAGAGTACTATGAGGCCCTGGGCCTTCCCCGGAATGCTTCCTTAGATGACATTAAAAAAGCGTAAGTGTTTCTTTGTCATTTCTAGTTTCATAGTTCTATTATCACATTTCTTTCTCCTACGAGGGATATAGCTTTCCCAGATGCTCAGCGAAAACTATACAGCTCCTGCATTTGATAATGTTGTTCAGCTGATGCAGTGCCTTTATCAGTGAAACTGGGAGGATTTGGTACTGGCTGCAGTCCCTCTATGCTCTCAAAACCTGCTCCAGAGGGCCAAGAAGGCCCCTGGGGCAAGTCCTTGGGTGGCAAAGGAAGGTGAGGGGTGGAAAAGAAAAGGAAGTCTCATTGTGGGAGTAGCTGAACACTGGAGAGATAATGGACTGAGGTCAGATGATACCTCCTTGACAAACTTTCTTGTGTTGCAGTAATTTTGGTATCAAAAAAGAAAGAAATGGTTGGGTTCTAATAAAGTTGAATCCAACTAACATTATTCCAGACAACAATTATGCTGTTAAATGAATTCTGGCAGGGACTGAGCATAGCCTTCAACTGGTGGGCTACAGCCCCCTTACTGGACCATGGAGTCAATATGTAATATAAAGAGCATATTAATTAATTAATGGTGTGCTGCCTGACTTACAGTACCCTTCTCAGGGTTTTTTTCTGTACAGAGTACTCGGAAGTGGTTCCCAGCTTCCTTCATTATGGGACAGTATAGCTTGCCCAAAGCTACACAGAGTGGTTTCACCCCTTAGACTCACAGGAAGGGAGTCAAACTCCCAATCTACACCTAACTCATCAGTGAGCCAAAGTGCAACCATTATCCTAGCTTTCAGAAAAGAGGTTTGAGTAGAGACATCCCTCCTCGAAAGTCTGCGAGCAAAATTATCTTGCTGTTTATGGCAAGGGGGTGTTGGTCCTAAGACCTGCAGGGATTTCAGTCAGTCGTGCATCATCATGAATGTTGATTTAGTGTAGCCAAGGCTCACAAGCCAAATGTCTACCCGTACACAGGCTCCCTAATTTCTCCACCTGCCTACACAGCCAACAGAAGAAATGGTAGTATGTGCAGGAGTCATGACATCATTCAAGAACTTCTCAAGCAATGCCATTTCTCAAATAGAGCAGAGGGGAACAGAATATGTATATACTGTACTGTATTTTCTTCTTCCTCCATGAAATAACATAGGGCAATTGTTTCAGGAGGCAAAGGTTCCCCTCGACATTTAGTCCAGTCATGTTCGACTCTAGGGAGTGGTGCTCATCCCCATTTCCAAGCCGTACAGCCAGCGTTTGTCCAAAGACAGCTTCCGTGGTCATGTGGCCAGCGCGACTAGACACGGAATGCTGTTACCTTCCCACCAAGGTGGTATCTATTTATCTACTCGCATTTTTACATGCTTTCAAACTGCTAGATTGGCAGGAGCTGAGACAAGCAACGGGAGCTCACTCTGGCACGTGGATTTGATCTTATGACTGCCGGTCTTCTGCCCATGCAGCACAGAAGCTTCTGCAGTTTAACCTGCAGCGCCACCACGTCCCTATTTTTTCTTCTTCCATGATATAACATAGGGCAATTGTTTCAGGAACCAGATTATATAAGACATGCCACTTCCTTTTGTCCATGCTGTATCCCCCTCTTTTTTTAAAAAGCTTCAGTCCACAATATTGGAGGGCAGGTGGAAGAATTTTGACTTTTGTGCTTCTTGATGCAGAAGCTTTTAGAGGTATTGCTATCACCTGTGAGGCATAATGCTAAAATGGTATGCTGTACTTTTCAGAACTGAGTACAGTTCATCCCTTTACAATCCTAAAAGGGTAACCCATAATGACAATAGCAATCTATCAATATACTGTATAAAATATACCTTGCATTTTGCTGTCCTTTAACTTGGTGGTTCCCAACCTTGGGCCTCTAGATGTTCTTGGACTACAACTGCCAGAAGCTTTCACAACCACCTCTGCTGGCCAGCATTTCTGGGAGTTGAAGTCCAAGAACATCGAGGCCCAAGGTTGGGGACCAGTGCTTTTAACTGACTCCAAAATCTAATGTGAAGGGAGGTGGGTGACTGGGCGGCACCTTAATCCCTGCCATCTACTAACGAGAGACATGTGGAGAGCAGGTTGACACAGCAGGTAAAGTGACCTGGTCACGATCAAACATCTGCTTGCTTGCTTCCTTGTCCTGCTGGGATCTGTAAAAGGAAAACGGCAACTACCCAAGTCTGAAGGGGTTAAAAACTGCCTCAGGGGAAAGAACAAGTGTTTTTTTCCTTAGAGGGAGCAATCTAAAGGGTGCAGACTCACTTAGGAAGACCTGTATACAGTGGACCCTTGACTTACAGACGGCTTGACTTACAGACTTTTTGAGTTACAGACTTCTCTGGCCGCAAAATTTAGGTTTGACTTGCAGCCTGAGAATTGACTTAACAGACCCACTTAGGAAGATCTGTATGCAGAGTACACAGATCTTTTCTCCAACACTGTGATGTCACCTCCCAGCACCAACTGGCTAAAGCAATTGTCTCACTTTTGCCTAACGGTAGGGCCAGCTCTAGGTACACAGATCTTTTCTCCAACACTGTGTTGTCACCTCCCAGCACCAACTGGCTAAAGCAATTGTCTCACTTTTGCCTAACGGTAGGGCCAGCTCTATTTAAACAGCTTTATTAGTAAGAAGTAGCTATAGATAGGGTAACTTACAATTCTTTTGTTTGGAGTGTGTGTGTTACTGTAAAGATACAGGAAGAAAGCTCTCAGGTGGCATCCAGATAAAAACCCAGACAACAAGCAATACGCAGAACAGAAATTCAAAGAGATCGCAGAAGCATACGAAGTACTTTCAGATAGTAAGTATTCAATCCCTGTCTTCCTCAGACTACATCAGTGCCCTTTACTGAATTTCTTGTATTTTCCTTTCTGTCACTCTTTTCCAAAACATTTGTCTACAGCTGCACAAACTACATTTCTTAAATACCTATGCTGAAGGCATGGGGGTGCTGATTTGGTGTTTTTTTTTTAAAGGCACATAGATACACTGGATGGAAGGAAAGTTAGGAAAGTTTGATTAATTTATTTTTGAAAATATGAAATCCACCTGTAAGCTCAGAACTCCCTCCACCCTGGGTGAAATTCACAAATGGATTCTGTTGGTAGACAACACAACTACCACTGCTGAATGGCTACATACTGTATTCTTCCGGTACCCCAAAAGCAGAACTAACCATATTTGCAGTCACTTCCAAAAGAGATACAGAGGCCAGATTGCTGTAAAAGCAAAACAAGTGGCAGACAAAAGTGCTTCATAGTACTGATGGACCCCTGGTTAAATTCCTACTTTTTCTCCCTTTCAGAAGGCAAGCGGGATGTTTATGACCGCTATGGTAAGGATGGACTTATGGGAAAAGGTAAGTGATTACCCTGGAAAAACCTTTCTCAAAGTCACACAACCATAACAGCAATACTCAAAGTCCAGTTTGCATAACTTTGTGTTAGCAGTACAAGCTGATAGTCATGCCCGCAGTTATGCCTGCAGAAGCCTTCAAGGGGTGGAAATGTGGCTGTGTGCAGGTTATTTTTCCAGCCCTGCCCTTTAAAAAAAAATTATTTTTAAACTAATTAAATGCTTCCAACCTCCCCCCCCCCCAATTTTTTAGGTTCTGAAGCTACACAGGGCTCCCTTTAGCTCTGGAGAAGCCTTTGGGAGTCTCGAGACGGTAGGGGAGCCTTTAATCACCAAAAATCACTGCTGTCTCACCATCAGTAGTCCCGATCCAGCCAGTGGTAATCCAGTAGTGATTTCTGCATGGAGACATTTCTGATTTGGTCTTTTTCCAGCTCAGAATTGCCCTCCCTAAGCTGCTTCTTAACCCATATTTGTATCATTCTCTTTTCCTCGGTACAAGGATGGGAAGTGTACAATCTATGGGAGGCACATAGTCCGCCCAGGTTCCTCTTAAGATCCTCCACCTCCTGCTAAGAACCTTTTTCCAGATTAAAAGCAGTCAGTTATGCCTGCAGAAGCCTTCAAGGGATGGAAATCTCACTGTGTGCAGGTTATTTTTCCAACCCTGCCCTTTTAAAAAATTCCAAAATAGGTTAAACTGAAACTGGAAGTGGTCAATTATTTCCAGTGTGGAAAAAATGGGGCAGGAGTGGACCAGCAAGGTCTGTATGTGTGTGAAAATGGTGTAGGTGAGATCCTGGATCCTTCACATCTGGTTTCCCCCTTTTCCGTGATGGAAAAAGCAGCTTGGAAAGGGTGATTTTGAGATGGTAGATCTGGAAGGGAAGAGCTAAGCAACCTTTTTTTCCGAAGTGTAAAGATAAGCAAGACATTTCTACAGATCTGGAGATTTAGTTTCTGGAAGAAATGTCAAATAATTAAAGGGCTGGCCAGTTTTTTGTTCACAAAGATTTAGCTTAAACATGGGATATTAATGTTCATTACCTTAGGGAAACCAATACATATATCGGCAGCATGGGTGCTGCAGAAATCCAGTCCCTCCCCCAACCCGAACTGGCTGGGCCACTCATAGATCACTGTATGACACACATGGCCATCATCCTCATCATCACACCAATCGTGAAAGCATCCCTGCTGGCTCTTCCCTGCCTCCCTGTGCAACTGACCACTCAACAGCTGAGCAAAGAGATGCCCATCCCACTGCTTCACAGGGAGTGGTTGACTGCATAGGGAGGTGGGGAAGAGCCAGCTGGGCTGCTTCCATGATTGGGTCAACAATGAGGATGACTGCTGTGCACACTGCACGGTGACCCATGAGTGGACTGGCCGGTTTGGGAAGGAGGGACTGGATTTCCATGGTGCCAATATTCATACCCCAGGGATAAGAATACAAATATCCCATGTTTCATTTAGATGATTACCAGTAAATCTATATAGGGCAGCACTAGATTCATCCTTGGCTGTATAACTTCCTAGAAAAGAAGAGCTTCATTTAAACAGCACCCAGTTTTTGTGTCCCCAACTGCCACCTCTTCGGACACCCTTAATGCCTAGCTTCGAAAGGTCATTTTTTTCCCTTTCAAATATTTTCAGGTAGGCCTGGGGCATCATCTAAAGCCAACATGGGCCCCGAATTTATGTTCCACTTCCGCAGTGCTCATGATGTCTTCAGGGACTTCTTTGGGGGATATGACCCTTTCTTTGGTAAGTGACAATTCCTTTTGGGACTGGGAAGCAGGTATTCTCTTTCCTGATTACTCATATAATCTTATCAACTGCCAACATGCCACAGGCAAATACTGTGGGCAGAGGCATTCTCCTTGGAAGGACTTGCCTTCAGCAGCTTCACGGAATAAAGCCCAAGCCCTCCTCCAAGAGAGGGCAAGATCTCTCCAACAGCATCTCAGCTTTACTCTATAAACTGCAAGTCATCAGCACAAACGTACGTTCAGCAAATGCTGTTGGATGCAAACTGAAAGCTAGGGAGATTCGACTGAATATCTCAAATTGGAAAGTTATTGAGGTTTTTTAAGGCTGTCCTGGCCCTTTCCAGATCCGATTTTGGAAATAATTAGGTTATGAACAATTAAATGCCCGCCACAGATTCCTTTTCAACAAAACTAATATAAAGCAACAACTGCACTTATTTTTGAAAAACAGGACATAAAATGTTACTTTTTCAAAAACTGTAACTGCAACTAACTACTTTTTAGTCCTTGGTCCTATTTGAACTACAATTCACAGACTGCCTCGTTGGCAGCCTGACTGGTAGCTAGAGGATTCTTCAACTTGTAAACCAAAATGTAATTTCTCAAAACTCTGAGCAATAGCCAGTGACTTTTTAAAAAGTAATTTTCCACCTGTGCATTGAATAGCAAAGTCTGTATGCATGCATAAAAAAGAGAGGGAGAGCTCGACAGAGAGATACATAGGTTTATTGCAGGCAAAGGCACAGAAGGACAGGGTTGAAAAGGAACAAGTCCTTATAATAGATCCCTCACACCATTAAAGTTTGTTTTGGATCCAAACTTCCAGGTAGGGACCATGCATTTCTGCAACCAGTAGTAGTTCAGGCTTACAGCTCAGTGTCAATCATCTCCCCCAATTCAGGCTCAACGCTACGCAAATTCAAAAGCTATATTAAACTCAGCTCAACTATCCTACTTTTGGGGTGATATAGATAAACAGTAAAAAAAAAAAATCAGATTGGACCCACTGTAACAACAGACCCAAAAGCATTTTAGTTTTCTGTGAGACCAAAACACCAGAAGCCTGTCTGAGTCCCCTTGATATTGCCGTCCACTGTGTCCACCCTCGGGATTCAGCAGGTAGTATTACAAGAGACAGCAACCTCAAGGAACTCATCCTCTGAGTTAGGACCAGCTCTTCAGAGTAGAACCACCAAACCACTGACTAACTCTATGGCAAACGAAAGAGCTACAACCACACTACTGTTGGAGCTTGTTGAGAGGTAGCCATTGCATGCCCAAAGGGAATTTTTTTCTCTCAGGGTTCTGTGTCATCGCTTCCAGAACTTGTGACACTGTGTAAGGACAAAAACATAGAAACACCTTCAAGCTGAACTAATGAGCTCTGACAGAAGCTGGGAATGTCTACAGTGGGGTCTAGGCTTTAAAACTACCTCAAAACAAAGTAAAAATAAATCGAAACCTCCTTCTCTCCTTGTGTTGCTTGGTCAAAAATTTGTCTCTCCACATGGAGACTGAAAAACACAACAGTTCCTAGAAATTTCAGCTGGGGCTCCAAGATCTGTTGTCCCTAAAACCACGGGAGGGGGGAGATTGGCTCATTCCTATCATTCTTTGGGGTGCATTTCTGGGACCACTCGGTTGCAGCCTAAGGAACCTGGAAAGCACCATACGTTCCTCAGCATTCACCACAAGGGTTTGAGTCTTGATTTAGCCTTGTGAGGTGGACATAGAAAGATCTTTATACCAAGTCAGATTATTGAACCTTTTCACCTAATGGGTGGTCAACACGTCAACAGGATGCCCCACTGAAACAGAAGTCTCTGGGTGGTGGCAGTTTTCAAGGGGCTGCTGAAATAGGAAGTTAAATTCCTTTCTTCTCCACCAAATCCTGTTTGCCACAGCAATGGGCAAGGCACGGTGGGCCTCGGTAGAGGTGCTGGATAGCCACCAAGATCTGGCTCTGAATGAGGGTGGACTCTGCCTTCAGCCCGGCCTGGAGGGAAGGACCATAGCATCCAGATGAGTGGCTACTGGCTGCGGATGCTCTGGCACTGACCCATTCCAGATGGAGCGAGATTTGACTTGGGGGCGGGTGACCGGGACTGAGGAGGCTGAGGCAGACATGCTGGTCCAAGGTGTTGGCAGGTCATGGAGGCCAGTCACATACGAGGTACTCAAAGGTCATCCCACTGGCCTATCTAGAGGTCTCCTCTCTTCACAACCTCCCCTCTTCTCCGCCAGGGTCTCCCACATTGGCTTTGGCTTCTGCTTCACATGCCTCCCAATCCCGGGCATCTGCCCACGAGTCCTCCTCCTTGGAACTGGTTCCCTCTTTGAATAGTCTTCCTCCCTGGGCACATGCCTTGCTCCCTTTTGTGACCTCTCGCTGCTCCCTCCGTGTCCTGATTGGTAGCCCAGTCCTATGGGAGAACTGCACGTGGGTGGCGTTTTGACGTGGGCAGCCCACTAGTGGTTGGGACTGCTTGATGTGTGGAGCCCCAGCCAATGCCACACTAGTACCATTGACACTGACTGTCAGCAGTTCGTTGTGGTTTTTCGGCCCCTAGTTGGGGATGCCAGAGTTTGATCTCGGGCTTTTCTGCAGGCATAGCTGACGCCTACCACTGAGCCACAATCTCTCCCCAATCTCATTCTCAGGAGAACCTATGCCCTTTGGTGCTTGTTGCAGTGGTGGAAAAGGGTTCAGCTTCTACTCTTCATCAACGAACTTTGTCAATGGCAAACAAATCACCACCAACAGGTACGGTGAGGTGGGGGGTGGGCCAGTATTAACCATGGCTGAACTGTCCCCACAGTCTTATATTCTGCCAGTTAAGGAAACAACATGCTCTACTAAGTGTGACCATCTTATTTCTAGTGCAGATCCTACATCTGTAATAGAAACTTGACATTAATTTTGTCTGTACCAGGACATTGTTCAAGGCATGTGAACAGAGCAGTCAACATCGACAAATGAATATTGAGGACTGAATGAGACAGTTACCACACACCATTTTCCTCTCTGAGCTATGTTGCATTTAACATGCTTTTGGGGGGGGGGTGCTTGACTACTGGCAGGCCAAAATAGGCTTAATTTGCAGGTTTGTTTGCTGAGGCAACTATTCTGCCTCTGAAGAAATCTCACTGTAGGAAGGAATTCGTGTTAGGATTAATCACAGAACATATTCATCCCTTAAGATTTACTGTGACTCTCAATGAAGAACAAGAACCTGAAGAGGTGGATGGAAGAAGATGTGAATTAAAAGCTTAGTTCCTGATATTGCCATTCTGGACTCCATCTCATTCCTGTGTGCACAATATATATTTTCTATGGATATGAGAATATCCAACTGTTTACTAATATCATTCAGGTTGACATCTTCCAGCCTGACATCTACATAGTTTGAATTTTCTCGAGTGACATGTTTCTGTGGTAAGATATATGCAACATAAAAAGTGATAAAGCCTTATGGAAAATTGCCTGTGATGGCAGTAGAAAATTCACCAAGTATTGTGTGATTCTGGCCTTTGAGGAACTGGGAGAGTAAAAGATTCACTTCCAATTCCCTCCCCCCGCCCGACCTTCTTATCACTCATGATTGTTGTTTAATCATTAAGTCATATCTGACTCTTCATGACCCCATGGACCAGAGCACACCAGGCCCTCCTGTCTTACACTGCCTCCTGGAGTTGGGTCAAATTCTTGTTGGTCGCTTTGATGACACTGTCCAACCATCTTGTCCTCTGTCATCCCCTTCTCCTCCTGCCTTCACACTTTCCCAACATCAGGGGTTTTTCCAGGGAGTCTTCTCTTCTCATGAGATGGCCAAAGTATTGGAGCTTCAGCTTCAGGATCTATTGAAGGTGATTTGTTTGCCAGTGAGCACTCAGGGTTGATTTCCTTTAGAATGGATAGGTTTGTTCTCCTTGCAGTCCAGGGGGCTCTCAAGAGTCTCCTCCAGCACCACAATTCAAACACATATTTGGCGGTCAGCTTTCTTTATGGTCCAGCTCTCACTTCCATACATCACGACAGGAAAAACCATAGCTTTAACTATGCGGACCTTTGTTGGCAAGGTGATGACTCTGCTTTTTAAGATGCTGTCTAGGATCACTCATGATTACCAACAATCATTGTTCCAAAATCATTTTTAAGATAATATTTTTATTCAAACAACAAAAACGCAACATTTTCTAAAACTGTTTGTCAGAAAATAATACAAGTAATGTTTCAGGGACAGCAGAGAGAAGAAAACTGTCTTTCTTGGATCACACTGATCATTTTCTGAGAATTGTAGTCCAAAAAGTAACTTTCTCATGTCTGAGGGGGGAAAAGCTGGCTGATATTTAAATCTGCACAATCTGCATGCAGCTACGTTTCAGGGTGGCTTGTGGATGGGATCCAGTTATAATACTACTTGCTATCTCCCCCCACACCCTATCTTAAGATTGCAACTGCATGCAGGCTCCAGTTTAGACCCACTGGTTTATGCCTGCCCTGGGCCTGGTGCATCTGACATCTGGTCCTCATTGCAGCCAGTTTGTGTGTTTATGCTGGGAGGATGATGACTGCACAGATCTGTCAGGGGCCTGGTGAACCAAATTCCTACACCTCCTGCCCTGCTGCACACTCCCACCACATACCAAACTTTGGAAAGTGCCCCATCCACAAGCTGTCTATGTTCTACTCCTCATGAAACCTCTGCCTTTCCCAATTTGTTTCAGTTCCTCTTCCAGTACCATAAAGAGGAAGGTCAAAGTGATGTTCAGTTAACCAAGAGTTTAATTTTCTCCTGTGATGGGAGCAGAATAAACGCTACAGCGTTATCTCTTTGTCTCTTCCCCAGAATTGTTGAGGATGGACAGGAGCGAGTGGAAGTTGAAGAAGATGGAGAGCTTAAATCTGTTCTTGTTAATGGTAAAAACCAAAAAACTAAAATTTGGAATGATGTTTTGATCCAGCAGGTTCTTTGAAAAAGCTTATATTCACCACACAGTCCACTGCATTATGGATTTGGGGTAAAGATATTGTGTCTTTGGATAGAAGGTTTCTGTGACATTTACCCACGTGGCCCCTGCTTGATATTCCCTCCCAAAGGCCCACGTCGCGTTTTCTTCTCGCTGTCACCAGTGGATTACAGTGGTACCTCGACTTATGAACGTCTCTACTTGTGAACGTTTTGGGTCACAAACGGCTCCGTTCGCAAAATGTTGCTTCAACTTGTGAACAGAGCCTTGACGTACGAATGAAAAAAACCTGTCCTGCCCTTTTTTTGACCTAAGTTCATCTTAGGTAAAAAAAAAATCTCCCCCTAGTGGTAGAGTATGGATTAGCCGGCTTTGCTTTAGTTCCTATGGGAACTACAGTAATGCCTCTACTTACGAACAGCATCTCAACTGTTCGAAAAATGTTGCTTCAACTTGTGAACAGAGCCTTGACGTACGAATGAAAAAAACCTGTCCTGCCCTTTTTTTGACCTAAGTTCATCTTAGGTAAAAAAAAAATCTCCCCCTAGTGGTAGAGTATGGATTAGCCGGCTTTGCTTTAGTTCCTATGGGAACTACAGTAATGCCTCTACTTACGAACAGCATCTCAACGTATGGATGAAAAACAGCCTGAACGGATTAAATGGTTCTCTCTGCATTCCTATGGAAAATCTTGCCTCGACTTACGAATTTTTCGACGTACAAATGCCGTTCCAATATGGATTAAGTTTGTAAGTTGAAGTACCACTGTACTTCAATCCACAATATAAATGACATACGTCAGAACACTTGTCTTGTGAACAGAAACAGAACTTATTTATTGAAGTGAAGCAGAGTAATAACAGAATTTTTTCAGATATTCAGTATACATAAGCAATTCATCAACAGTTCTCTCAGTACACAGTTCTTTTTGCTTGCAATATCATTACCACTCTCTCTACCTATTTTCCTAACCAGCTTTATCTCTCTGACTAACCCTATCTCTCTGACTAACCAGCTCTAACTCCTCCTCCTCCAGCCAAGCCTCATGTAGCCAGCCCTAACTCCTCCTCCTCCTCCTCCAGCCAAGCCTCATGTAGCTGCTGACTCCATCTCTCCAGCCCTGTCATAGGTTCATGCAAATCAGCTCATGAATATGAACAGCATGAGTGATGTGGGCAATCGCCACAGTTTCTATATATACTGTAGACACTAATCCTCTTTGGACCACAAGCTGCAGAACATGTGATCTTTGTGCACATCACTCCTCCTCCTCCTCCTCCAGCCAAGCCTCATGTAGCTGCTGACTCCATCTCTCCAGCCCTGTCATAGGTTCATGCAAATCAGCTCATGAATATGAACAGCATGAGTGATGTGGGCAATCGCCACAGTTTCTATATATACTGTAGACACTAATCCTCTTTGGACCACAAGCTGCAGAACATGTGATCTTTGTGCACATCAGAACTGCCAAAGGAAGTTCGCACTGCTTAACACTGCAGCAAATGGATGGCTTGCATGCTTTCCAGTATTTAAAGTTCTGAAAAGCGGTCTTATTTAGCACAGTATTCCCTGCATGGACTAGCAATGGTTGACCACGTGTTCAAACAGGTATCCTTTTCAGCCCTACCTGAAGATAGTAAGGGTTCAATCAGGGTCCTTTTGTTTGTGCTCTACTCATCTTGCATTAACTCACAAGAAAACCATCATAATTGAGTAAGGAAGCTAAACTATCACTCTGCTAAGCTTGGTGCATTTATGTGCAAAAGCTCTAGGACTCCCCAATCGTTTAGTGAGACCGGCTCTAATGCTGTCTTGCTCAAAGATCTTTGATTAAACTGGTTGGATCTCACCTGCTTGGAGGTTAGTGTTTTGTTCATAGAGCATGTCTTCCCAGAAGGCAAGGTGTCCTCTGAAACTGGGAGAGTCACTGGAGTAGCCTTTCATAGTTAATACTTCTTGAATCTTATTTTTCTAGGTTTTGCCAAGTTAGAAAAGCACAGGCAAGATAACTGTACCATTCCTATGATGTGCTATTTGATGCTAAACCTGGTTCAGTTCAGCACTGCTGGTAATCAGAGCATATCTGGAACATTTCCAAAGCGTGTGGTACATGCAGAAGATCCCAAGCAAAGGCAACCTAATTCATTTTGTTGCTGGAAATAAAGGACGAGGTTGCATCCCTCCTCCCAAATTTCCTCTAAGGAAGGCAACTGGTCTGCCAGTTGAATTTTAACTCAACACTGGACATCTTTGACCTCACTTGAATATGACAGGCTAGCTTAAAGGTGCAAGCCAGGCTACCTGGAGCACACAGCCCTGTCTCCCAAAAGAGGGAACAGACCAAGGGCTGCTCCCAGTGCCCTTCCCACACCTTCTGTCCCCTGCCTTACTGCCTCCGGATAGAGCCAGCTCTGGTCCCAGTCAAGGTTCGGTCTCTGGCATCTCCAGTGAGAAGCCTCAGGTGACATGGAAGAGCTCTGCCCGAAACCACAGGAAGCTGCTGCTTTCTATGCAGTCCTGGCTTAGAAGGACCAATGTCCTGCCTCAATTTAAGGCAGGTCCATAACTTCCAGATGAAACAGACAAGAGGGTGCTCTTGTTCCTGAAAGATGGTATGATTGTGAGAACTAATGTAAGATGTTTCCTTTTTTTCTTGGTAGGTGTACCTACTGATACAACCTGCATTCAGGAAGCAAGAAGGCATTGTGTCCGGGGAGAACCCACCAGGCACAGGTCTGCACCTCAAGTTATTTACCATGATGAATACGATTCTGATCCCATCTACGAGGTACGTACTGCAAGGCATGTGTTCCCCGTCAGAATGACCAAGTGCTTCAGAGTAGGGGAAGAGTCCCCAGTGGAGGACAACACAGACAGCGAGTCTCACCTAGATGATGGGTTCCAAACTGAGGATGACGAATCCCATATTTATGAGTTCTAACACCATGCTGCATACGGACAAAATCCCATATATTGGTGGCAAGTCAGGAGGAGAGTTTGACCGTATGAATACAATGAAGAGGCTGATGAGAAGTAATCAGGCAATAAATACGAAATGGACCCCGGGTGAAATTAGGCATGTTGGTCTGGAAGAGGTTGCCAGTGAAGAAGAATGTCACACTACAAGAAGAAGCAAAGGGGTGGAAGACCAAACGATGAATGAAATGAACAGATGACTCTCTCCCTTGAAAAGGAAAACAAAAAATGAAAACAAAACAAAAAAACAACAACCGAAAACCACAGTCATTTGCCAAAGGGAATAGGCTCACTCTCACAAGGAATCAAACTCCACTAGGGCTGAAGAAGGCTTCCAGGCCAAAAACATGCCATCGCAGTCTGCCTGCTGACCAGCATAGCAAGCGAACTGAAAATTCTGGGTTCCCTTAGGAAGGAGGCAAGCAAAGGGCAACTGGCTATTTAATAAAAGTTGGGAACAGTGATGTTGGTTTCATTATTCTTATTTCATTATCTATAGAGGAGAGGCTTTGTTTTTAAGTACAAAGGTATCCAATGGTCAAGACCTTTTCGGAGACCTAGTGCAGTGAGGTAGGGTGGCTCAAAGATAAAAGGGCTAAAATTCTGTTGCTTAGTATAATATGTTGCAACGAGAGCAGGCTCATTTCAGTCAATGGAACTTACGGAGGAGCTGACTCACCAGATCCCCACAGATTCAATGGGCCTACTCTAGTTGCAATTTATTATGCTAAGCAACAGGATTTCAGCCCATGTATCCTTTTGTAGATCTAATTCTTTAGATATCAAAGCCGGAGACATTCAAGTAGAGATCACTCATTATTTTTAAACCAAACATTTGGCAGGTTAAGGTGGTTTGCCTCCCTTTGATGTCAAGTGAATCTCACTGAGCATCACAGTGGGACTGCATTGGTGTGCCAAACAATTTGGCCATGGGAACTAAGAGAAAGAGAACAGAAAGCATTATATAACTGCTCTCTGTAGATGATGAGTGTCACACACCCCAGCTCCTCTGTATGTTCTCCCTGGCAAAACAGATTTGCCTTTGAGTATGACAGTTTCTCTTGTCTCCACTTCCACTGCCACCAGAGGAAATCTTTCCTCAATTACCAGTTAGGACCACAAACTCAATCGTGTCACATATAATGTTGTTTATTAACATATTAACATGTTTAAAAATCAAGGAAATCATATATGGTATTGTATTTGATATTCATTAACTTCATTCAACTTAGAAATATGCTGGTTACTGGGTATTTAGTTTCAATCACTTTATAACAAGTTATTTATTCTTATGGTTTTCAGTTGCATTCAGTTCTCTTATACGTTTCTTTCCATGTGTTTCTTTTTGACTTTAATAATCCCTGTCTATTTATCTCTTTCTGAAAACTTCTCCTAATCCTAACTCTTCATACCAGTACTTCCATCTTCCTAATTCTTTCCCTGACTTCTAACTAACTGTCCTATCTGTTCACTAACTGAAACATTAACTCTAACTGATTTTTAACTGTCCTCCCATTTTTTCTTATATTTCCTTGGCTCCACCCTCCTGCTCAACCATTGGTTACTAAATCAGTGTTTCATTGTGATGGACAGGTATGGTTTCTGGCCGGTCCATCACAATGAGCATGCATAATATGTTTGTCCACAGCTACTGGTCCCAATAGCTATATAAAATATCTGCATATATCTCCGTATTTTCTGTTATGCACCATCATGTCAGAATCGACTTATAATGATTCTAATAGGGTTTTCAAGGTAAGTGAGCTATTTAAGGAGTGGCTTTACCAGTTTCCATGACCAAGTGAAGATTTTCCATGGCCAAATGGGGATTCAAATCAAGGCTTCCTGAGCCCTAGCCCATCACACTATTCACTACACCACACTGGGTATCCCTACATAAAAGACAGGTCTATAAAAATATAAATACAAGTAGAGATAAATTACTTAAGGTGATGAAAATGGAGAATATTTTGAAAACAACAGAAACAAAGGTTCTGTTTGAAATAACAATTTGAAAATATATTAAAAAGTTGGAAAAATAAACCACTACATGGACAACACCTGAGAAATATTGATAGAAAGCATGAGAATTCAACATTGGCATGGCTAAAACTGAGGACCATTAAGAAAGAAACCAACGGTTTGATTTTTGCTGCACAAGAACAAGCACTTGAAACCACTGTGTTGAAAGGTAAGATTCAAGGAATTAGTACTAACAGTAAACATCAACTCTGCCAAGAAAAATATGAAATGGTGTCACACCTCATCTGCAAATGTCCAAAGATTACACAAACAGATTACAAAATTAGACATTACAGAGTGGCAAGGTTAGTGCACTGGTCATTAAGCAAGAAATATAACTTTCCAGCCTCCAAAAACCATGGGAACATCAGGTAGAGAAGGTGTCTGAAAATGAAGTCAAACTGATAGACACCTTGAACATAACACACTAGATATAGTAGTAATAGAATGAAGAAAGGTCTGGATCATGGACATTGCAATTCCAGGGGATGCCAGAGTTGAAAATAAAGAATTGGAAAAAAAAACAAAGTACAGAGACCTGGCAATCAAAACATCTCGCCTTTGGAAGAAAGACATCAATGGTCCCTGTAATCACTGAGGCTTTGGGAACAATATCAAGAAATTCTGCCACAGGAATATCCTCGTGACGCTGGTTACCGGGTATTTAGTTTCAATCACTTCATAACAAGTTATTTATTCTTATAGTTTTCAATTGCATTCAGTTCTCTTATATGTTTCTTTCCAAGTGTTTCTTTTTGACTTTAATAATCCCTGTCTATTTATCTCTTTCTGAAAACTTCTCCTAATCCTAACTCTTCATACCAGTACTTCCATCTTCCTAATTCTTTCTCTCACTTCTAATTAACTGTCCTATCTCATTACTAACTGAAACCTTAACTCTAAATGATTTTAACTGTCCTCCATTCTTTTCTTATATTTCCTTGGTTCCACCCTCCTGCTCAACCATTGGTTACTAAATCAGTTTTTGTGATGGACAGGTATGGTTTCTGGCCTGTCCATCACAATGAGCATGCATAATATGTGTGTCCACAGCTACTGGTCCCAATAGCTATATAAAATATCTACATATATCTACTTATTTGCTGTTATGCACCATCATGTCAGAATCGCCATAATGATTCTAATAGGGTTTTCAAGGTAAGTGAGCTATTTAAGGAGTGACTTTACCAGTTTCCATGACCGTGAAGATTTTCCATGGCAAAATGGGGATTCAAATCAAGGCTTCCTGAGCCCTAGCCCATCACACTATTCACTACACCACACTGGGTATCCCTACATAAAAGACAGGTCTGTAAAAATATAAATACAAGTAGAGATAAATTACTTAAGGTGATGAAAATGGAGAATATTTTGAAAACAACAGAAACAAAGGTTCTGTTTGAAATAACAATTTGAAAATATATTAAAAAGTTGGAAAAATAAACCACTACATGGACAACACCTGAGAAATATTGATAGAAAGCATGAGAATTCAACATTGGCATGGCTAAAACTGAGGACCATTAAGAAAGAAACCAACGGTTTGATTTTTGCTGCACAAGAACAAGCACTTGAAACCATTGTGTTGAAAGGTAAGATTCAAGGAATTAGTACTAACAGTAAACATCAACTCTGCCAAGAAAAATATGAAATGGTGTCACACCTCATCTGCAAATGTCCAAAGATTACACAAACAGATTACAAAATTAGACATTACAGAGTGGCAAGGTTAGTGCACTGGTCATTAAGCAAGAAATATAACTTGCCAGCCTCCAAAAACCATGGGAACATCAGGTAGAGAAGGTGTCTGAAAATGAAGTCAAACTGATAGACACCTTGAACATAACACACTAGATATAGTAGTAACAGAATGAAGAAAGGTCTGGATCATGGACATTGCAATTCCAGGGGATGCCAGAGTTGAAAATAAAGAATTGGAAAAAAACTAATAAAATATAGAGATCCGGCAATCGAAACATCTCACTTGTGGATGAAATACATGTCAGTGGTCCCTGTAGTCATTGGGGCTTTGGGAACAATATCAATAAATTTCACAGTATTATAAAAGCAGATGACAATCTCAGAAATAACACCATCAGAGCTACAAAAAATGTCAACATTAGGAACAGCATATATACTGTGCTGATATTTAGCAGATACTTAGGTTTTCGGTAAAAAATTGTAACAGTTGTATAATACCAGTCAATACTTTTATAATTTTGATTGACTGTGTCTGGTATTTTTTAATAATGGATTTTTCCATGTATAAGATGATACTATTGTCTAAAATCTTTAGATGAAAACTTGAGTGTTGTCTTATACATGGAAGTAAGCTGAGGAGAGAAGAAAAGCAAGTGTAGGGGAAAGCAAGGATCAAAACGCTGCAGGATCGCTTTGATCCCTGCTTTTCCCTCCATTTGCTAAGTTCCACAGGGCTTAGCAAAAGGAGGGGGAAAGGGATCAAAGCAATGGGATTGCTTTGATCCCTTTTCCCTCCACTTGCAATTTTGGCTTAGAAAAGTGGGGGCGGGGACATTTTATTTTTATACACCGGGGTGTCTTATACATGGAAAAATACAATAATAACAATACCTACAAATAACACAATCCTACTGGTCCCCAGTCAAAATAGTTTGACCATTTTTAGTGAGATTTGCATTTGATTATTAAAAAGTTCTTTCAGGCTAATCTGTGAGCATTCACAGTGAAGCAATGAACCTGCCCTTCCTTAGTATTCTGTCTTATTTTGCCATCACTTGGGCTACTCTGCTTAACATGTACTGTTCTCAGTATAAGTATATCACTCAAACTTCCTCTCAAAGTCTGAAAAGTGATTTGTCTTCCAGGTTTGTTGTTACCTCCCAGAAAACCTATACTACCATTCTTGTGATGCTTCTTAGTTGCATAAGCTGTTTCACTAAAAACAGCTGCTAGGGATATGTGAATCTTCAGATATTCATGGACTGCAGCCCTATCCAGCATAGCCAGTGCTAAGGTATCATTGAAGTTGCGGTCCAGCTACAGTCTCAAGGGCAAGAGTTGCCCAAGTACTCAAGATGAGAAGACTCCTGCAGCTGTTCCTTTAAACAGTTATGCAGATAAGGGACCTTCAGTGGATGTTGTCTGCATGATAAACTACACCTGCTGGAATTCCCTTATGTACACAACCACTAAAAGGGCAGGACTCTGCCCTCTTTTTGCATCTGACCACTCACTCCCAATTTTCACTGTACAGCAAGGTCTGCATTCTGAAGACCAACAGGAGATATACTTCAGGGACAACAGCAACCAAAAACGCAGACCTGCCTCGATATTTTACTCTCTTCCCTTTTTACCACGAGCATAACTGCAGGAATGCTTGTAAATTAAGTTTACAAGCATTGTTGCTTGTAAACTTGCTTGTTTTTGTTTGTGTGTGTCTGTGGAGGATTTGCTTAATTGCTTGCATGTTTGCATTTAGAGGTGTGCTGTTCTTTTGTTTTTTATTCCAATTCCCAGAATTCTCCCAGAGTTCCAGTTGCCAAACACATGCCTGCAGACACCTGAACAAGGCCTTCCAGGCCTTCTTCTGAACCTTCATTTCCTCCTGCAATCCTGTGTGGGAATGGTAGTTCTTCAGGAGGTACCTTTTCTAGGACATCAATAGCAATGAGACTACCACTCCCAAGATGGATTGGTTAGCTTCCTTCCAGGAAACATTGCAGCAGGGGGAAAAAAAGGCTTTAAATAACGCCTTGAAAAAGGCATCAGCCTTGTCTGAGTGATTGAAAAGAAGGTGTCTTCTTCAGATGTGTTTGTGGGCTGGAACTGTTAGAATTCTGCCTTGGGGATTCTTGAAGAATTCTGTGACTGGAATCCAAAAAGAGAGAGTATACCCCTTTTGCCATTTATCTTGCAGTGCCGAGCTGGCTTGGGGATAGACAGCTAGGTTTACTGTTACATCTGTTGCTGACGTGCTGCTAGATTTTGTGAGCTGCTGTCCAAGAGCCAGCATGCCTGGAAGCTATACCAATTTTCCTGGCGGCTCCCAACCAATCACAAATCATAGATGAAAGTTACAGAGCCCCTGACATCACAATCAACTTCTCCTTTCCTTACCTCAGGCAGCAGCCTTCAGAGATTAGGGGTCAATGATAATCTCAAAGGATGTGCCAATAAACTGGAAAATTATTTTGACACTGTGAGGTAGGGTGTAGGGTTGACCCCGTGGTTCAGTTGTATTATTATATGCTGCAGAACAGCTGCAGTGAAACCAATGACCCATCATCAATCTGTTAATTGTATAATTAATTGTATAATGCTGCAGAACAGCTGCAGTGAAACCAATGACCCATCATCAATCTGTTAATTGTATAATTTAGACAAGATTTTGGTTGGACTAAAGAGAATAAGGTGCAGGCATTTTTGCCTTCGACTGGTTCATTCTCATTTTGATTTCTGTCCTCTAGGGCCAGATATTCAGCCTCTATCTGTATCCACCCAACATGGGTTTGTCAAGACACTCCACCGTCCCTTCAGGCCTCTCTACAGGAGGGACAAAAGATGAGAGGGACTATTATGATATCCTGGGTGTTTCCCAAGGTGTCTCCCAGAATGACATTAAGATGGCGTAAGTTAGTCTTTGGAGCATTCTACATTACAGGCTTCCCTGCGTACCCTTACTGCCTCTATGAGTCTGGCAAAACCAGAGGCCATTTAGAAACCACTGTTTATATTTGAAGAGATGGAAGGGCTCTTTCGCCTTCCCTGCGTACCTTACTGCCTCTATGAGCCTGCCAAAACCAGAGGCCATTTAGAAACCACTATATTTGAAGAGATGGAAGGGCTCTTTCATGATGCTGTAAACAGTCCTTTTCTTGGACAGAAAATAATTTGTTGAGAGTAGCAGGACCAATACTCCCATTAGGTAAATTGGTACCAGATGTTGCAGGGGTGTGCCCATGTACAAAATGGCAGCAATGAATCAAAGTTTAGGTTCTATGATGTGGTTGGTCCTGTGCTTCCTCACCTAGCCTAATGCTGTCACCTGTGGTGGAGGATGATGTTCCGTTGCTATTACTGAAGGACGATTCAGCTTCCAGGCTGCTGGCTTTGAGTGAGAGGAATAAGATAGAGGAACCAGCTTTCCTTCATGTTGGGAAGAAAAAAGGAAAAGAATATTTCATGTGCCAGCCCTGGAGATTACCCTTGCCAATCCCTGGATTAAAAGGCTCTTCTGTCCTTTTAAAGCATCACATTCTACCTTATGTTTGTCAAGCTTATTTTTTCTGGTCATTCATTCAAGTTATCTGAGAATCTAGTTCTTTCCCAATGGCTTATTGCTGTAAAATGAAGGAATGTGGCAAGAAAAGTAGATCGGGATCTGCTCGTAGAACTCCACATTTGACGTGCAGTTGATCAGCAAGGACATTTGGCTCCTATTTTCTAAATTAGGCCTGGAATGAAGGGAGAATGGGATGGTGAGGAAAAGAAGAAGGCATTTTGGGGAGGTAGCAGTCTCCCATCTGAAAAATACTGTTGTGTGAGCTGTGTATGCAAAGATGATGCACTGGGTCCCTCTGTTGGGTGAAAGGTGGGATAGTAAGTAAGCAAGCAAATAAACAAATGCATGAACAAAGCACTCTTACAGAAAGAGGAGGGGAAGGCCTTGTTGGAGCCATCTAATATGCTATGTATAAAATTGACCGAGCAGGCATGCATTTGTATCTTTTCTTTTTTAAAAATCCATTAAATACACTTTTATTTGCTGGCCCTGATTGGAGCATTGTATGTCCAGTGTGTTTGATTGTCTTGCATTATCCCAAACAGAAAAATGGTTTGTGCTCTTTCCTATAACAGGTACAGAATGAAGTTGAAGAAATGGCATCCTGATAAAAACCCAGATAACAAAAAAGAAGCAGAGGAGAAGTCTAAAGAGATCGTGGAAGCATACAAAGTACTGTCAAACAGTAAGGGCCCAACTTCCCCACCTCTTTGGCTGCGGTTCCTTCATTTTATTGACACCCTTGCTTTCCTGGTGGTTAAAAAGTTGTTCCATGATGCTTTAGGACACATGGCTCTGGAAATCTCTTGACCTAACTTGGTGTTGGGAAAACTATTTTGGTTATTCCCTTTTAGTTAGTAGAGTAAGGAACATGGAGAGATCACCCCAGCCTCATTGCTACACCCTTTCAGACCCTACCTCGTTGGTAGAAAATAACTCTAGAAATCTTTGAAGTAGAAAAGAAGCTACCTTTGCTTACAGTTGATGTCTATAGTTACAGTCAAAAGGATATAAAAGAAGAAGAAAACTAGGAGAGGTGGGCCTCAACTATGAGGGAGACAGACCCTCTATGATGGCTGCATAGTTGGAGATTAAGACAGAGAGACTAACAAACAAAAGGAAGCAAAGCAAACAAATGGGAAGAAGGAAGGAGCAAGCCAGAGGTGGGGGAAAAGAACTTTAGTAATAGGTTAGTAGGAAAGGAGATAATCCCTTTAGGTTCTAAAAGCCTCCCTTCCCCCATACCCAGTGTTCAAAAGCATGCAAGGCTATTATCTCAACATTTGGCAGGCTGAATTAGGTCACCAGGAGAGATTTCTTTCCCCTCCTTCAGGGTGCTGCTGATGAGAATCCTCAGTCAGCAGGGTTAGCCCCATCATTATACAATGAGGCAAGCAGGAAGGTCAAGAAAGAGCAGTGCATTGTTAGTCTTGTCATCAGCAGAAGAGCAGATGTTTGAGAGAGTCCAAAATAACGTGCCTTCTCAAAAATACTATGCAAGAAGGATGGAGAATCTTTGGCCCTCCTGATATTTCTGTGTGTTTTTTTTTCCTGAGTACCCCTAGCTGCATGATATTATGGGCATTATAGTCCAAAATATCCAGAGGGCTAAAGATTCTCCACCCTTGATTTGGGAATGCAGATTCTGTTTGCTATCTCACCTCAGGCAGCAAGATGTCCTGGGTTGTCACCATGATACTGGTTGTCACCAGTTGACTGCAGAGGCGCTGGGTAACTGCAGTTTGTATCTTCTGCATTTCAAAGAACAAAGATAATCTTGACTGTTTCTTCAAGGATAGACAAAAAGAAGCTGATGACTGTTATTTTTATTTATTTATTTGAAATATTCTTATCCCACCGTTCTCCTTGAAAACGGACCCAAGGCAGCTTACAACAATGGAAGACAATATTTAAAATTGAAAATAATGAGTATTGAATAGTGATGAACATCATTAAAAGATTATATTTAAAACTATGAACAATGAATAAGGAGGCATCTTACATCATTAACAGGCAATAATACGGCCTGTTATAGTAGGCTTACCATAAGAGTTGATTGGTCAGGTTATGTCTAGATTTTAGACATACAGTAGTATGAACTCAGCATCCATTTAATCCCTTTGCTGGCCTTGATTCTAAGTTTTCATGGTTGGATCGTTGTTTTTTTTAAAGCACATTCCCAGCCCTTATAGAACTATCGATATGATGCAAAGTGTACAATTTTAACCAATTTGGTGAGGAGCAGGCCTTCACATGTGATTATCCAATGAATGAAGCCATCAACACTTTAACATGAGCTCACAGATATGTAAACCAAAGATCTTGGTGAAATATTGCAGTTGTGGAAATGCTTGGTCTTTGCTAAACTGCCTGGAACCAATACATATGAAACAGTTAACTCAGAGCAATGAATGCTGACTGAGGGATTATGGGAATGAAACTACACAAAAGCGAATGTTTCCAAGCTCTGACAATATGCATTTTTCTGTATTTCCTGCTTTGGTACTGCAGTTGGACTCAATTCCTCTTGAAGCTCTACAGATCTATGGGTCTGTGATTTTATGGCCTTTAAGAAACATCAATTCCCTTTTATATTCCCCAGGCTTCTAGGAGCTTAGCTGTGATTTTAGGTAGGGTCTGCCCTGATATGGCAAAAAGAAGGGAGAATGAGGAGTCTAAATTATTAGATGCTTCTGCTTGTTGTTAAAGTTAAGCCTATGGTTGTTGTAAATGTTATATTTCAAACAACAAGGTCCAAACAATGAGAAGGAAATGATAGTGCCATTTAAAAAAACCCAAATCCATATGCACTTGTCTTTGGAACATGGTATGGCTCTTTCAACTGCTTACTTGATATATGTCCTAACTCAAATGGATCTTACACCTCCATAAATATGCATAGGAAAGTAGACTGCTCTGATTTGAAGAACTGCAGTATGTCAACACTGTGATTGGGTTGAGAGGAAAAGGAAGAGTGTTACTGCTGAATTTTTGCTGATTTTCTGATCTGCAAAATGCATGTTATGAGGGTAGCTGTGGTCAGCGCTGCTTTGCATCCCTTCTCAGTGTCACATTGGTATATGTTTAAGTAAGCAACACATATACACAACATTGTGGTCTAGGTTTTCCTGCATCTGATCCACTCAGCTTGGCTGCCCCTTGCAAGGGTGAAGAAATTCAGGGAGAGAGGATGCCACACTGCACATCATCTTTACATGATAGTAAGATGATTTAGGTTGATTCTCATAATGTGCATTCTGAACTAAGGCAGTAAAGTTGAATTATTTACAAGATATTCTCCATAATAGGATCCAGCTTTTTCTTAACCCCACTGGACTTGTGTGGATATTTCTGTCCTGCACTGATTTTGGGCTGACACAGTCCCTGGTCAGCCCATGACCTGAGCCCCACAACACTGTTCATACAGGAATACTAATTCCTTCTGGTTTACCGAGAGGAATACAGCACAACAAACACAGTTATCTGGAGAAGTCAGTGGCGGAGACTATGCCGACATGTTGAGAATAAATATTATGTTGAATATTTTAAACCACTGCTTGTATTCTCTTTTAAATCGACTAAAAGCTAGTTTCTTATAGGTGTGTCTTCTGACAACGTGAAGCACAAGAGCAACACAAGAAAAGAGAAACCCCATACCAAGCCTGATAAACAAAGTTCTCAAGATGGCAAGGCCAGTTCAGCAAATGGCAAAAGCTCCTGTTCTGAATATGACGATTCATCCTTTGAGTCCGATAGTGAGTTGTCATGTTCAGAGGAAAATACTAGCTCTGAATCTGAAGAGTCATCTAGTGAGTCAAGCTCTGAGCCCAGCAAGTCAACAACGGAGCCTAGTCAACTCAATTCCGAGTCAGATTCTTGGTCCAGTGAGGAAACCTTAGAGCCCAACAAATCCCGTCCTTTACATGTATGCAGCAAGTCTCCTGAAACCTGTCAGGCAGAAGAAAACGAACCACCTCCAAATATAAAGGATTTCCCAGCCACACGTAGTAGAAATAGATTTCAGACCAGAGGAAAATATCTACCAGCTGTGAAAAGTGAATTGCATATTAAGAGCAGAAAGTCTAGTAAAGATCGCTTTCTGCAGAACAGTGGCGAATTCCGCAGGAAGAGGAAGGAGCAAACTGGGAGGAACGAGTGCCAGGCAGAGCGAACCAAACAACAGACTGAAAATTGGGAGTGTCAGATGAGGAGGCCAAAACTTCCAAAGTTAAAAACCAAGCCACACAATGGTGAGGGGAATCTCCCTATGGAAAAGAAGGAACCGCAGGCAAGGAAGAGTGAGCAACACACCAAGAAACACCTTGAGAAAGTAAAGACTCAAGGTGAGAGGCAAATCAAGAAATCCCAAGCAAAGAAAGGCAGATTTCATCAAGGGCGGGAGCCTGACTTTGGACCCCAGTGGCTGATAGAACAGAAAGAACGAGTTAACAAACACGAGTCAGGTACTGCACGCCTGAAGTACACGAGGAAGAAAGCGGCTTCCCCACCTCAAAGAAAAGAAACTTCTGCTCAGGGGTCAGAGCTGCAGTCAACAAAGAATGAGCCAAAAATTGGAGACACAAGGTCTTGCGAAGTAAGTAAGTTGCAGGCTGGGAGAAAGAAGTTGCATGTCGGGAAGAACACGGTGAATGTCCAAAAGAAGCCACTGAATACTGAGAGAAGCAAAATGGATGTCTCAAAAAATGGATTGCATGCAACGAAAACCTCTGTAGATGCCCAGAAGAAGGAACTGTGTCCGATGAAGACCAAGATGAATATCCAAAAAATTGAGTTGCATGATGCAAGAGGACATAAAACAGTCTCTCAGCCTAAGGAAATAGCCACAGAGAGCAACATGCCAGCTTATACTTGGAAGGTACCAGCCACCGTCTGGCTTGGACCAGCAGAAGATACAGCAAAATTGCTCTTTGGTGGAACAACGGAAATCTCTGGTGGCCAAGCCCCTCTGCCAGGTAAACTGAGACCCAATGGGCCACAACCGCCCTTGAATGGAAACCAGCTGGCAAATATCCAGGCTTGGAATAGAATTAATCAATTACATTTAAGGAAGAATTTGCTTCCACATATTGATGCCCCAGCTCAGAATGGAAAGACCTGGCCACCTCCATATATAACTACTCACCATGAAATGTTTAAACCAGATGCCTTATTTTCATGTCCAAGATGCTCCCAGTGCTGGTGCAAGTTTTTAAACCATAGTCCATGAAAACAGGCCCAAGTGCTGAATACCATCAGAAATGTTTTGAAGTACTGAAATTATCCAATAAAAAGGGGGTCAGTCTGGAACCCCAATTCTGTTTCTGGTGTCTGTCCATCATAATCAAGATTCATGGGAGCTGATTGGAACAGGTCCAGCAAAGAGTACTGTCAGTAGCTAACACTAAATACATTGGGAGCCAGAAGGCTCTGGAGCCTACTGAGGCCATCCTTATCTGCTCCACTCCATGTTCCTTCAATTTATTCCTACAGTGTTTAATTTTTTCACCTTGACACTCATGAGAGCTTCCCCTCTGGCCCATCAGCCTTTAATTCTAGCAACCTACTCCCAATCTCAAATAGTCTTACTTAAGAGCAGTGCACCTGAATGGAAACAATGGCCCTGCCTTATTTTTTACAGTGGTCTGCAAAAAAGTAACGACAGACCAAGTGGTCCTTCAGGAAGTCCAAAAGCTTCAGCATGAAGGCAATAGCCTCTTATACATACACATCCAAGCGAGTTTCCTGGGATTTAGTGTATACTGACCCTGGATACAAATCTAGCACCAAAGAATTCACTTGCATTCACTTGCTGTGAAGTTGTACCAGCGAATTCAGGACTGTTTGATCTAAGTGGCCAAACAAGGAGATAGAAGAACCTTGTTTACTGTTTGCTTTAAGTTCTGTGCAAAGCCCTGCTGGTGGTGCCATTACAAAGAACGGCCTTAACAAGCTTTAACAAGGCTTTCTATCATGGGGCTTCCTTATCTTGTTACCTTTTAAAAAAAAACCAACTCTTGCCCACAGAGAAAAGCAAAAGCAAAGTGTGCTGCTTCTCATCTTGTTACCTTAAAAAAAAAACACCAACTCTTGCCCACAAAGAAAAGCAAAAGCAAAGTGTGCTGCTTCTATACTGCCCTATAACACTTAAAACACTCTCTGGGTGGTTTACAACTTAATTATGCATGCTACAAATTCCCCTGCCCCTAGCAATCTGGGTATTCAATTTACCCACCTCCGAAGGATGGAAGGCTGAGTGAACCCGAAGCCAGCTACCTGGTATTGAACTCAGATTGTGAGCAGGGTTTTAGCTGTAGTACTGCAGTTTAATCACTGTATCATGATGCTCCTAGAAGCACAATTCTTTAGCTGTAAAAAACAAAAACAAAAATAGGAATCCTGTTCATGGAGGATGATCTGTTAAAAAAGAAAGAAAAGGAAGGATCTTGTCCTTGGAGAGAGGCTTTGCTGGAAAGTGTGTGTGCTGGTGTTTTTACGTTTGTTTCTTTGTGTGTTTCTCTCATGAAGCAAGAGACAAGGAGGAAGGAGCTTTAGCAAAGCACAATTTTCTTTGTGTGTACATGGGGGGTTTGTCTTCCTTTTTCTGCATCAGTTCAAGTGATCACATGTCTAAACCAATACAAAAGGATCTGTGTTATAAAATGTAGAAGCCCAGCAGTAGAGGGGAAAAACTGCAGATCGGGGGGAGGGTGAACTCTGGGCAGGATTTGGATTTTCCTTTGCATCAGGTGATCAATGGGGAAATGTGAATCAGATCAAACCAAACCCATAGTATTTCCAACATTTTTTATCCACGTAATCGCACAGTTTCAGATCGCTGGGATATTTTCTTAGGAAATGTTTAAATTACAAGTGAAGTATTGTTCATACCCTGATTCTAAATAAAAGACATGCAACTGCTCCCCTGCAGGCATTTAGGCAAGCAATAAAAAACTATCCCTTTAAGATTGGCTTCAGCTGAATGAATAATTATACAATTAGAGGAGTTTTATATTCTGTTTTGGCACTAATGTTTTTCTTAATGATTTGCATTTTACAGTACTATGCTTCTGTCAGGATGCTACTTTGTTAAGATGTAGGCAGACAGACAAGCTAAAAAAATACTGTAAAGAAATGAGGAAAGTACGATGGATGTGTGAAGAAAGAGGCGGACATGAAGACAAAAGAAAAATGATTGTATTTTCATGCAATGAGCTCAAAGTAGCACCCTCTCACCCTTTGGTTTGGTCTTTTATGACAATACAAAACCTACACAGATCTGGTCATCTGCCCTCAAGGAGACACTCATTAGGCCCCATTAGGAAGAAACCAAGTTTGGCGGCGGATGAAATTGGCAACTATAGGCCCGTCGCCAATGTTTCTTTCCTAAGCAAGGTGGCTGAGAGGGTGGTGGCCGACCAGCTTCAAGCGCACTTGGAGGAAACGGATGCCCTGGCTCCATTTCAGTCGGGCTTCAGGCCGCGCCATGGTACAGAAATGGCACTGGTCGCCCTGTGTGATGACCTATTGAGGGAGGCTGACAGGGGCAAAGTGTCTCTGCTGGTCCTCCTCGACATCTCAGCAACCTTTGATACCATTGACCACGGTATCCTCCTGGGGAGGCTCTCTGAGTTGGGAATTGGTGACCTGGCACTGGCCTGGCTCCGTTCCTTCTTGGAGGACCGCCACCAGAGAGTACAGTTTGGGGGGAGTCTTTCGGCCCCTTGGAGTCTTGATTGTGGGGTTCCACAGGGGTCGATTATCTCCCCAATGCTGTTCAACATCTATATGAGGCCGCTGGGTGGGGTCATCAGAGGGTGTGGGGCCTTGTGTCATCAGTACACTGATGACACCCAGCTCTACATCTCCTTTTCACCAACTGCAGGAGATGCCGTTCTGTCCCTTCAGCACTGCAATGGATGCAGGAGAACGGGCTGAGGCTGAACCCGGACATGACGGAGGTACTGAGGGTGGGCGCCCCCACAGCTGGGTGATTGGGAAACTCCCTCTCTTTGGGGGGGGGGGTGACTCTTCCCGCCAAGGATGGGGTCTGCAGCTTGGGGATCCATCTGGACCCAGCGCTCACTATGGAAACTCAGGTGGCGTCAGTGGTCCGTACCGCCTTTTTTCATCTTAGGCGGATAGCCCAGCTACGGTCCTTTCTCAATGTCGGGGTGCTCACTACCTTGGTGCATGCGCTCGTAATCTCAAGATTAGACCACTGTAATGTGCTCTACGTGGGGCTGCCTTTGAGGCTGCTGCGGAAACTTCAGGTGGTTCAGAATGCGGCGGCCAGACTCCTTAGTGGGGTGAGAAAATTCCAACATATCTCGCCCCCTCTGGCCGCATTGCACTGGCTGCCCATCCGATTCCGCATCGACTTCAAGGTGTTGATGCTCACGTACAAAGCCCTAAACGGTTTAGGGCCTCGATATTTGGCGGAACGCCTTCTACCACCTCGGCAGGCCTTCCCTCCAGTCAATCCCTGATTCCCTCTTTCTCCCTTCTATTTGTCTATTTTATCATGTCTATTTTTATGTAAAATTGTTTTATATATATTCACTGTTCTATTTTATGCTGTTAGCTGCCTAGAGTGGTCTTAACTGACCAGATAGGTAGGATATAAACAAACAAACAAACAAACAAATAAATAAATAAATAAATAAATTTGCACTGTAAATCTCTCCTCTGCGTTCTCTTCCAAGCTTAATAAAAAGATTAACACAGATATGGATTAGCTTTTGACAACTTTATTTCTTCCAGAGGAAGAGCTGGGAATATCCTCATGGAATCAGTCTCCTTCTGATTTTCTATAAAGGATATATGAGTTGCATCCAGTATCTAAATAAATAAATAAACAAACAAACAACCCAGTTCTGCTGCACAGACCTGAAAAAGTTAAAATTTTTTTGCTTACTGTCATCGGAATCCATGCTGGAAGAGACCTCTGGTAGCTGTAGTCCAAAAATGGAATTCTTCCAAGCTCTGCTGACATGGTATGGAGATGACTCTGGGCCGCCAAAGGCTATGCTAAGGCTTCCAAACCAGTGTGGCCCTAGTGGTAAACTGTATAGCTGCCATCTCAGGACCAATCAAGTCCAGTACAGAAATGTCTGTCAGCAGCATAAAATGGTTGTGATTTGCACTGACAAAGTGACTTTCCACCCTAATGAACTCATGGATTATGTTTCAGGAAAATTTCTAAATATCATTCAACCAAAAACAAAATAAAACAAACAAAAAAGCAGAGTAGGACAAATTCCAGTGGGCTGGTATGTTAATTACAGTTGCTACTAATTGATGGCCTATCTTAAGCCTTCTTCCTTACAGGAGTTAGTGGGAAATTACATGCATTGCCCTTTAATTAAACACACCTATTCATTACCTGCCCTGCACCGGTTAGGCAAACTATGTCTACAATTTGGCTTGAGAAAAAGCATGGATTCTCTCCCCCACCCCACCCCATGGTGACAAAGAAGACAGAAGAGTGTCAAAAGCTTTCCTGAACCTTAATGTATTGCAGCACCAGCTGTTATAAGAACGAACAAGAAATACTGGTTGGATCTTCTTCCCAGTTATCTGTCCCAACTTTCACACATTCGCTTCTGTAGCATGAAGTAATCTAGGCTTTTAGAAAAAGTTTCTGCCAACATAGCTATATGGAAAAGCCCACTTAATATGTGCACCCATTTTGGCAATTTCATTTGGCACTACTCATTTATGAAGTAAATTCCCTGGGCCCCTATATTCTGACAAAGTCTGAAAGATCCCAAGTATGCAGATCAAACTGCCTTCTGAATGTAAAGAACTATCCCTTAATCCTAGGTATTATATTGGGATGAATGTAGGCTTTAGTAGTTTAAAAAATAAAAAGACCCGGTTTGTTGGTTTCATTTGAGGCCTGATGCCATGTTTTCCTCTGAGGTCAGTGTGGTGGCTATATGTTTTCTTTTGTGCCTCAGCACGTGCTTTTTCATGGAAAACACAAGAAGAATTTGTATAATGCAGCCTGCTCTTGACCAATCAATTTTATATAATGTGTCCATGCAAAAAAATGTGATGACAGCAATAAAGTTGGCTAGGACTGAATTGCTACCGTGTCCCCCCCCCAAAAAAAGACAGGGTCTTATATTAATTTTTGCTCCAAAAATGCACTAGGGCTTATTTTCAGTGGGTGTTTTTTTTTCATGTACAGCAATCTACGTTTATTCAAATACATTCAGGTCATCTTCTTCTGGTTACTGCACATGGTGGAGGGTTGGGTTTCACTTAACTGGGGCTTATTTTCAAGTTAAAGTCTTATTTTTGGGGAAACAGGGCATTCATGTGTGAGTCCTAACTTGATTGTTCTCTAAGAACTGCCTCAGAGGGCCACGTCTTGTTAAGATGCCACTTGCTGAGTGAACTAACAAGTCCAATCAACTCCTTGGATTCCCAAAAAGCTTCAATTAATTTGGTCAAAATATACCCTTCTAATATCACAAGGGCAGATAAATGCCAAAAGTACATACCAAATTTAATCTGTTTACGCAAGAACAATTATTAATATCTGGCCATGTTTCCTGGTGGTTAAAATGGAGATTTAACCCTGAAAAAGTATAAAACCAACACTTCCAAGCTAAATCCTAATCTACTGGCCCACCAATCATTTATATAGAAAAAATTGATATAAATCATATTTATGAAGAAAACTCACTCCAAGTATTACAAAGGCATTTCTGTAGGATGCTATGAAAGCAGGGGGCTTTCACACAGGAAAGAGCAAGGGTGAAAAGACAAAAAGAATTGACAGCAGAAATACAGGAACTCATAACAGCATAAAAATTCAAGAGGTAAAAAGTTGGATGCAGAATTAACTAGGGGAGAAAAAAAGCAAAACTAAAGATATATGACCTGGACACAATCCAAACATCTCTGTTTTTCTTTAAAAGGTAGTACTATGAACAAGAATAAATGTGGACAGAAATCCTAGTAAGGCATGTGCTCAATTAGTGCTAAGTGGCATCAACTGGCAAGAATTAGGGAGGAAAAATTGCTCTGTCTGGATGAGCCATATGGCCAAAATCCTCTTGTGTAGCTTCACAAATTATGCAATTTTTGGAGAGAAATTCCCCTAACATGAGCAATAATCATAGACAGTATCAGTTGCTTGCCAAGTCACACAGCTCCATATACAACTGATAATGTCCAAAGTGATTTTTTATCTTGGGATAATTCTTCTCTAAAAGTTACGCCATTTGTGATAGCAAAAAGATTTGGGCCTGGGTTTATCTGGTGAAAACAGAAAAGTATAATACAAAGAATCATCACTCACATTAGAGGAGAGAATATATTAGAAAGCAAAATACACTGCTTGCTGTGGATGGTCTCCAGTCCAAAAGCCAAAGGTGATGCCCTTAAAAACCAAAGAAGATGAAGTTTGTTTTCTTGAATGTGATTTTAATTTCCCTTACTTGTGCTTTTGATGACCTAAGGTGGCATAACTTAATTATTCTCATATTCTGCACATTAATTAGGTACTGCTTCACTTAAGCCTACCTATTCCAATAAGAGTGATCCTCCTTATACTCTCTTTCTCTCTTTGGTCTTGATGGAAGGTACAGGGCCAATTCTGAATTTTGCTGCCAGTCACTTTAGGGCTGTGGTGGGTTTCCAAGAGATGTTATGAACATTTCTGTTGTTGTTATACCACTCTCACCAGTTCTTCTTGTGTTCTTATCCCCTCCTTTCCAGGCATGGACATTTATTAAATATAGCACCTCTTCTACCAGCATAGCCATGTCATATCTGTGATCACTTGCGCACAGAATTGCTTAGGTCCAAGAGGTAAAGTTAAACAGTAGGCACTGAAAATATCTCACTTGTTGTTGGAATTGCCTTTATGCAATTGTAGTGATACAAAGAACATCTTGCAATAACACCACTAAGATCAAAGAGTCCAAACATGTAAGGTGTGTCACATCAAAGTTAAGGGTGTGGCCACTGAGAAAACAATGCATTTTAATCAAGCAGAAATGAAAAGGAAGCTACTCTGCACAGATTGTGGTTCTATGAACTTCTCTTTAGAGAGTTGATGAGACTGGTGTGCTAACAAAAGAAATAGTCAAATTCCTAAAAAATACAATAAACATTGTTCCAAAACCTCGATAATATAGTATAGAGAAATAAGGGTAAATTAGGTATTGTAGGGGTAATACCTGAATATATTATGGGTACAATTGTTTATTGTTATTATGGGTACAATTTAGTTGTTAAGTCGTGTCCGACTCTTCGTGACCCCATGGGTACAATACAGTATGTATAATGAGCAATATGGGAACAATGTACTATCCAAAATCTGCTTCAGATCCTTCAGCACACCGTCTATTCCTTCCAGTTTCTCATCTATCTAAATTGTTTGACCCAGAATGTCGCCTCTTTACTGCCACACAATGCCATCCATTTCTCTGCATGCTGTCCTTCCATGAGTGAGTCTCTTTTGTCACTATTCATCTTACCCATGACTTTTCAGCCTCACACGCCTGACATCACAATCTGCATGTTTGCCATTGGCTGCAGCACATACTCATTGGGACAGGAGAGATGTAAGAGGATGATGGAAAGCCCCTACTGCCTTTTTCTATAACCACGGCAGCCAGAGGTAGAAACCAAAGCTTTCACAGGTATGGAGAGCCATTGACGTTGCGCCCATGATGTACATAGCACACACTCTCTTCTTCTGAAATACTAACAGGAACACTGAACTCACAGAAGGAAAAGCCAAACATTAAGTCAGAACAAGCCAAAGCCTAATTCTACAGAGATGCCAATGGAGAAAAGTGGGATGCAGAAAAAGGTCCCAGAACACAGAGGTCAGGATCAGCAGGCAGTCAAACTTTCCGGGGTTTTATAAATATATTGTTTCAAGCTGCAAATCAAAATAGCATTTCAGTGATGAATTATTGTAGATAACCAATCTGGATAACAGCATATACCCACAAAAGCATGATTTTAGTATTCTAACAGCTGTACCCTGCATACATTTACATGGAAGAAAGCCTCACTGAATTCAGCTATAAGTGAACGTAGAACCAATGTGTTAGTATTCCTAGGACCCTCTTGTATTGGCAGGGATTTAGGTCATCTTGCTTCTCTGAAAAGATCAAAGCATTTCTTTAGTTAGGTCCCCCCAGAGCCATTAAATAATTGAGAATAAAGATATATACATTGTGTAGATACAACCTATTACACTGCACCGTCAAAAATATAGCAATCCCAAATCTGAAAGAGCAAGCACATGTGGTATAGAGGAGAAGGGCATATCACCATAATCAACAATTAACAACATGCTATCAAGTTGATTCAAACTCAGGGTGACCTTTTGCAGGCATTTCTTAGAATAGTGTAGTCAGAAGTGGTTTTCTAGTCCCTTCATCTGCAGTGTTCTAGGACCATATAGCTTGCCCAAGACCAGACAGGCTGGCTTTTCTACTACAAGGCACAAGGGGGAATTGAACTTCTGGCTTCTGGCTCTAGCCTTCATGTACCTTAGCTCAAATGGGGTTTGACAACATTTGTATTGGGCACCCACAGGGGAGGGTGTTTTGATGTTGGTACAATCTCGCAGGCAGCATCAGTCAGGATTTTCTGAGGACCAGGATGAGTGGTTGGAAATTGTTGTCCATGTTCTTGGTCTCATCAGGTTCTCTCCTGCTTTACAGCTTGCCTCTGCTCAAGAATGAACAGCACCATGGTCAATTACTACCAAGTACTAGACATCCCACAAACTGCCTCCTCAGATGACATTAAAAAAGTGTAAGTGGCCCTCTTTCAGAGCTCCATTTTCCACTACGGTATATTCTACCAAAAACGAGAAAGTGATGTCAGTATGCCTACTAGCCTGGTGCCCTTCAGAAGTCTTGGACTCACTAGCTATGGAAGTTATCATCCAGGACATCTGGAGGGTCCTCGGTTGGGCAGGCTGAGCATTCTTTGCTGTTCCCAAATACACTTTGAGGGGAATGAGAGAAGCGCAAACAGTTAATCTTTACATTTCTTCCTATTGTAGGGATGTTGGACTTGAAATTCCAAGATATGTTGCATTACTGATTAACAACAAATAGGAAACAACATGCATATGTGATGCTATCTTGTAATGATTTTTTTAAAGCATGTTTTCTTGCCCACTTTGTGCTCATGGAATTGTCCTCAGAATTAAAACTTTGGCTTCAGGCAATGGCTTGGCCTCAGAGGTTTAGTGATTCCTAGAAGCACTTGGGATTAGATGCCTCTTCTCTCACTCCTCTATTGTGTTGGATCTCAGTGTTGGTACTGGAGATGTGAGACCAATCTCTTCTGAATTGGCACTGTGAGGTGATAATTTAACTCATCCTTTCCTTATCTGTTGTCATTCTGATGCATTGGACTATGCTGGCTGAGGATGATGGAACTGCAGTCCGACATATTAGAGGGGATCATGAGGTTGGGGAAGTCCTACACTCAGGTCTCTCTCTTCTCTCTCTCTCTCTCTCGGGATATTTTAGGTACAGGCAACATGCCCTGAAATGGCACCCAGATAAAAACCCAGAGAACAAGGAATATGCTGAGAAAAAATTCAAGGAAATAGCAGAAGCTTATGAAGTGCTGTCGGACAGTAAGAGATCAGAACTCTCTTTCCATTTCCCCATTGCCAGAGGTCCGTGGGGTTTTCTATCTCTCAAGTGCTCCCTGTCTGCTTCTGTATGTCCTCTGGCTCGCCTTTTCATAGAAGTGTTTCCCTGCAGTATGCACCTGCCTTTCAAGGCATGGTTGCCTCCTGGCTGTCATTTTTGACAGATCAGGGAATCAAAGCTTAGCATGATTACAACCCACTTCCCCCTCCCTCAATATATATTATTCTGCAGCCAGTCCCCTTTTCTCCTCAGAGATGACCTCTCTGACTTATTGTTGGGCTTCCTACTTTCTGTTTCTTAATAATGGAAAGACTAGAGAACTAGCTCAAAAGTACATGGAAGTTCCATGTTCTGTTCTCTGCTTTGCCACCATCAGTGACACGTGGTGCATCAGTGCCAGAACAAGAGAACCAGATGTCTAAGCAGTACTACAGAACTTCTGCTGGTTTATAGTAAAAGCCAAACAAGCTTAAAGATGGAATAGATGTTGCTCCCACTCCTTCTTTTCTTTCAGGTTATAAGCGTGACCTTTATGACCTTTATGGGCTTGAGGGGCTTATGAGCCTGAGCACAGGTAAGTGACCTGCTCAAGGTGATTCAGCAGTTAAGTGGTGAACACAGACATCCTTGTGTAGGTGGGTTGATTAACAGACAGAGCATGACCAAAAGAAAGCCTTTATCCCTCTTCAAGGTGCAGAAAATAGAATGGAGCCTCCTGGTGGATTTCCACCCTTTCAATTATTGTTTACTAATGGAACTGTTAACTAAATGATCAAAGGTTGTATTTTTTTGCATTTTCAGTTCCCTGTGATCACTACTTCCTGTTTGTTCACTTATCCATACACCCAAACAAGCATATCCTTAGCTTCCAACAGTGGCATCTGTGTATATAATGACATTGACCATAGTCCACAAAAACATATGCCAAAAACTTATGCCATTGTTAGTTGTTGGTAGTCTTTGTTCTTATTATTGATGATAGTGATTATGATGATGACATGCCCTTGATGTGTTTTCCCCTTGCAAGGGCCTGGGCTTTATCAGAGCTTAAATGGAACACCTGACCTTATGTTCACCTTTCGAGATGCGGATGAGGTCTTCAGAGAAGCTTTTGAAGGACAAGATCCCTTCACTGAAAACTTGGGTAAGGAGAACAGTGCAAGGAGAACTAGATGCAGAAAAACATGACACTCCCTTGTTGGGCTGTGCCACCAGCTCAGTACTGCCTACTTGGGTTGGCAGCTGCTTTCCAAGGTCTCTTCCGTCTGCCCCGCTGCCAGAGATCTTTTGCTTATCTGGAGATGCTAGAGGCTGAATCTAGCATCCTCTACCACCATCTTTACTTGTTTTCACATGTTTCTCCCTTGCTATTTTCCTTAAAAAGAGGATGTAAAGCAGAATGTGCAACAACAACAACAACAACCTTTTTGGCATACAGCTTCTATGGCCAATTGCCATGCTGGCCTGGGGATTCTGGATGTTGCAATCCAAAAAAATAACACGTTCATACTCTGATCCAAATCTGCTAACCCCCTTCTTTTAACACCCAGTACCTTCTACAAATAGAAGAATGGCTAGGAGTTGCCAAATACCTTGCAGGATCTAGTTCAGAAGATAATTAATAAGGATTCAGACATCAGCTGAAATCCTGCTGCACTACTTTACGCTGCGTAAGGCTGATGTTATCATAAGCCTCTGTCTTTTCTTCCAGATTAATTATTCCTGATAACTCCTTATCTGAAGGCTTCAAGGCTTCTTTGTTATCCCTTTAGTTCTGCAGAAGCCTTTGGGAGCCACAGGACTAGGGAGGTGGAGTCTTTAATGTCTGAAAATCACTGCTGCCAGTCCCAGTCCTGCTGCTAGTCCTGGTGGCAACCATTTTTAGACATTAAAGTGTTCTTCTCATCCTTTGTCCCACAAAGTCTTCCCCAGGATGACAAGGGATCCTAAGCAAGCCTTGGAACCTTTGTTTTAGGGGCAGGGTATTTGACCCTTAATTTGCAATAAAATAAAATAAAATAAAAAATTTAAAAGACCATTGTTTATGACCAAATCAGCATTGCATGGTCTAAAGTTGTGTAACAGGATAGCTGACAAAGTGTTATAATTGAAAAGAAGACATAACATCCATATTGGCTCATACAGTTTGGACGTTGTTGTTCAAGAAAATAACTTTTCTCCAGCTTTGGTCTAGGCTTTCCAAGTTACTACAAGAAATGGGGTTGTAATGACTTGTGACTTCTAATGGACCAAGCAAATGGGAGAGGAGGCAGTCAACCATATCCGCTACCTTTGGTTCATGGCATGGTCTTTGACTCATCTTCCTTCTGTGATTTCTCCAGAAGAAAGAAAGACGATGCCATTTCTATCGTTGCTTTACCAATGGTGGAAGGGAAAGGGGGCATAAGGACTGGGGTGGGTGAGAAACAGGTCTAATAACTTTGTGATATAGTGGTGAGGATGATGCTTTCTCATATAAGTGTGGAAGAGTAACACAGGAACGGGATTTTCAGGACATTCCCTCCTCCCCTGAAAATGTAATGTTGATTCTTTTCCTAACTTAATATAGCAATCCAAACAAAGAGTTCATTTCTACTGTTCAACATTTTATATTAAATGAAAAATGTATAATATCAACAATAATTCAATTTTTTTTGTATCGACAAATATTTGAAATCAGTGGATATTATGGATAACTTATTATAACTATTTTTAATAAAACAATCATTTTATAATAAAATGTAGTTATTATGGTTAGGATTGTCAGGTTGCAATAGAAAGCACAAAAACTGGAACGGAGGGAGAGGGATTATATAGTAGCAGTTCTCCTAGTGAGAGGATGAGAGCCTGGGCTTTTTCCACCAGAGAAATTATGGTAACTGGAGTCCAAAGAAATAACTTTTCCAAGTTCTAATGATCTCAGCATTCCTCTGAGGCCATGCATAGTAAAGGAAAGATTGGTACAGTAGGACCCTCTTATCCACAGGACCAGTATCCGGTGATTCACTTATCCACAGTCTAAAATATTAAAAAATATTAAAAGAAGAAAATTCAGAAGAAAAAAACCTATTTCGGCATGTATTACCATAACTGAGACCTGGCTATGAATACTTTTCAATGAATAATACATAGCATCTCTCTCTCGCCCACTTGTGGCCAGTTTTGCTAATACATACAAAAACATTTTTTCCTAGTTTTTCCCTTCTACCATGCGAGAATGCGAGTGAGTTTTCTATAATCTGTGTTTTTCAGTATCCATGGTGGATTTGGAATCAATCCCCAGTGGATATAGGGATCCTACTGGAATGGAAATTGTCTTATGATTTTCTACCAAGATTTGGCAGGACATAAAGATCCCATGGAACACAAAATCACAATGCTGAATGCTATTGTCAGTGACCTACAAACAGGGGCAGCGCAAGCTCACCTGCTGGAAAGGAAGCAGAATGTTACCCCTCCCATTGCTACCATCCTTCTTTGCACCCTACAACATTGCTGACACGTGACCCAGCACAGCCAGTGAATTGCTACATGTCCCAGATTCAGCAAAGGAGTCATCCAACCCTTCTTTCCATTCAAGACACTTGCCGCACACCCTGCTGCCAGAGAAGGAAAAGATGGGGAGGTGGGATCCGACTTTACCTAGAGCCAGTCAAGTCGGACTTAAGTTTGTACCCATGACTCGACTTGAACTCCCCCCTCCATCATTTGGACTCATCTTGCAACTTGTAAACCGCCCACCCTCCCTTTTTTCTCGAGAATAAAAGCTTGTTTTTAAGAAAGTCTTGGTTTGGGGGCTTGGAACTCGGTTCCAAAGACTCAAAGACGGACTTGGGGCTTGGTACCAAAGACCTGGATTTGGATGCAAAACTTGCCAACAGCCCTGAATAAGAGCAATTTGGGCTGTTTCTATCTACATTTACAATGGACTGTCTGCTACCACAGGCAAGAGAGGCTTTCTTTATCCTCTCCTTTCATTGTGTGGACAGGAGATTGGACAGCAAGCACCAGGCCTGCCTGGATTTATATTTCTCTCCAACATGCTTAATTGTGTCCCATCACCTTTTGTTGGAGTGATGCATCATCCAAAGAATCTTCTCCCTCTGCTGGAACACAGCAACCAGAATCCTATGGGTTAGTTACCTCAGCATAACTCCAAAGGAACAAATTGCGGTGGAGAATTGCCATTAGTTGACAAAGAGCTACTTGTAGCTCTCATCATGCATCAATCATGCATCTGGCAGATGATGAGTGATACAAGTGGTGACTTACCAATCAGCAGCAATTGGCACTGCATTTACAGCAGTCTAACCAGGAGGATCCTGACCAATATAGTTTTAGACTTGTATTGCATGCCTGGAATTAATCTCATAAATTCCACTGCATTAAGCAACCAAACCCAATTAGTACACAGCTTATGATATGTATTCTGAGATCACTAATTAGAGCTCGATTTATCAGCCTTATCTTTACATTACAGAAGAAACATCTCCTGTTGCAGATCTACGAGAAGGACTGTCCCAGTGGATCATACCGGGGGAGAGCACCTACTCATACTATTCCTATACCTCTCCAACCCAGACAGGTAACAATGGACACTCGCCCATGCCTTGCAGCTTTGAACAGCCATAGCAGTTGAGTGGGGACTCTCCCTTTCAGTCACTGCAAGTGATTTTTGCAGATGGCTGTTGTGGCTTCTTTGGGCTTTTTGGCCATGTTCTGAAGGTCGTTCTTTCTGATGTTTCACCAGTCTCTGTGGCTGGCATCTTCAGAGGACTGGAGTAGGAACTCTGTCCATGCACAGAGACTGGTGACACATCAGGAAAAACAACCTTCAGAACACGGCCAAAGAGCCTGAAAAACCCACAACAACCATCAGATCCTAGCCATGAAAGCCTTCAAGAATACATCGATTTTTGCAGACTTTGCCAAAATCTCTATTCCATGTTTCCTCAAACCCTCTTCCACTGCTGGCTCCTGCTTTTTCCCACCTCTAATATATTGTTTTTATTCTGTCTTTTTTAATGTTTGAGGAGTCTGATTAGACAACAAGGCTGCCCTGATTTAAATCACTGTTGGCATTCATAGTTGGAATTCTCAATTGGATCACAAATTGCCCCTCCTCCTCTTTTGTTAATACTGTATTACCCTCCTTCCTCACCTCTTTAAAAAACTGGCAAATGACATAGCTCTGAATTGATATAACAACCTGTGAAACTGCAGTGCTTGTCCAATATAGTCATATACAGTACTGGAAAAGGATAATGAAATGAGTGACAAGAACTCTTTTGAAGGGAACATCTCTGCTGTACCAGTATGTAGTCTTTGGTGTGTTTTGGCATGCAGTTTCACAAGCATTGTATCAATTTGGTGCTATGTTATTTGTCCCTCTCTCCCAAAACAGTCACCTCACTGTCAACATCACCCTAGAATACACCCACCACTGCCCCTTTGAACTGATATGTGATGACATGTAAATTGGTGGGGGAAAAGGTTTAGAGCAGAATCGCTACCAAAACACCCCCCTCAAAAAAACCAACACTTATTTTATTGGATTTTATTTATTTATTGTCACTAGCTCCTGACAAAAAGCAATTGATGCCCGAGAAAAAGATAGCAGGCTTATTCACAATTAGCTGTAAGTCACTGCAGTCAATGAATTTAACCTTGCCAATTCTGACACAAACTGCAGTGTAGTCGTACCCTGCCACTCAAAGTTTGGGAAGCAGTATTTCATCCGTCTGGGATTATTGGGGTTGCAACAGTTACATTCCCAAGAACAAGGGTGTTGTCATATGCTTTTCCCCTTGCAATCTAGATTTCTTCACTACTTTTGGACCTGGCGCTGAACTGGGAATCGGCTTCAATTCCATCTCTACATCGACAAAATACATTAACGGCAAGAGGATAACCACCAGGAGGTCAGGTATTCTGAAGGGCCTGGTGACACTGAACCCAGCCTGACCCATAAACAGATGAAACAGCACCCCTTTGTTTTTGCAAAAGCAGAGTTAACTCATTAAAGAAGACCAGCCAATAAAGAAGGGAGAGCAGAGGTGGTAGGGGAGAGAGCTCCTTGATACACTGCCAAACCATGATTTGATAGTATTTTGAAACTAGTGTGAATCCTCTTGTGTCTTCCATATTTTATCAATCATCCTTGTAACCAATGCAAACAAGAGATGCCCAAAAGATTTTTTTAGCTTTAAATCTATTGAACCACTTTTACATAAAGGAATTCTTCCAAATGTTTAACCCTAAACTAATTCCTTCCAATTTACGACCATTATTTCTTGTCTATTTTCACTCCACATCCTTATCCAGCACACTCCATGACTGGGAATATCCTTTTTGTATAACGTGAATATTCTCAGTTCCTGTAACTTCTTCTTTTCTTACAGTTTGTGGATGAATCTTAATGGGAGCAGGATTTCTTTTCGTCCTTAGTGTTTAAAATGAACCACAATACTGCCCATGAGGGATTATAATTGCTAGGGAGTTATTGGAGCTGTAGTTCAATGTGTAGTGCCACACAAGATTGAGGAAGTTTGGTCCAGCAGGAGGAATTTCTGGAAGAAGTCACCAAGAACACTTCTCTGTGCGCATGGGCCAGGAAGGGGACATGTGCTTGGAATGCTGTGTGGCAAAGGCTTTAGTTGCTCCTACAGCTGGAGAAACCATCTGGCTTCTTTTGCAGAATTCTGGAGCATGGGCAGGAGAGGCTAGAAATTGACGAGAATGGAGAGCTCAAAGTGGCAGAAGAGCAAGGTACGAAACTGACAATAGAGAAGGGTACGTATCTGTAAAAGGGAAGATGTTCATTCCAGAAAAGCTCTTCATGTAAGTACTACATGATTAGAGTAGATTAAGGGTTCACCACAGACTGGCTGATTCTTGGATAAACTTTTGTCTGTCCCATCTTATTGTCCACTGAAAGCCATGCAAAGTTAGACCAGCAATGGAAATATTTTATTTTACTTATTGGGTCATGATTGTCCATGGGGTAAGAAAATAATGACCCCAGATTACTCTTTTTCCGAGCACTAGGCTGTTCTACACTCTCATTTGTGTACCAAGCCATCTGCTGGGGGCTTTTCAGGGCAAAACTCAGGCTCCCTACAAGCTGCCATGGGACTAAGTGGGGATGGAAGGGGGTGGGTGGGTGTAGATTGTGTCTTTCTTTGTTCTTCTTTCCTCCTTTGCTTGTCCTCTCCAGATTTCACCAACAACTTGAAGGACAGTTTGGAGCACGTCAAGCAGGAGCAACCTGAGGTCCTGAGTTCTGCAACTGACATCCGGGCTCTGCCGCGGCCACAAAGTGTTGGGCCTGCTTTGGCCTCCTGCCCTGAGAACGAAGAGAAGGAATTGCACCGGGCTATGGCCTACAGCTTATCTGAGATGGAGAATGTGGGGCAGAACCCAGCCATCTCCCATGGCTCCAAGAAGAGACGAGGCAGCCTGCGGCAGATGCGGAAAAGGCTGCCAGGAGCCAGCGAGGAAGCACTGGCTGCCCCCTGGATCATCCAAAGAAGAAGTCCAGGCGCAGGGGATAACACAAAGGAGAAGGAAGACAAGCCACCAGAAGATGACAAGGTGGGAGGGAGCAAAGGAGAACACAAGAACCAGCCTACGCTTAGCCCTGAGGAGAATGACGCTGCCCTTAGAGACATGCGGTATGTCTTTCCTGACATCATCCCATCCCGCAGGGAGAGGGATTCCATCCTCTGTGCTATTCTCTGAGCTCCAGAATCCAAGAGGAGAGCAACTTCTTCCCAATAAAGGTTACCACCTGGCAGTTAAGTCTCCACATTTGTATTATTTCTTAGGAACGCCACCCCAAGGGTTCGTCCTACTCCAATGCTGGGAGCGGCATGAACTGCCCAAGCTCAGTGGTGGCCGCTGTACCCTAGTGTACATGATTTTTCTGCATGATTTTTACAGAGACCCACTTTTTCTGGGTGCAGATATTTGGTGGCCTGTCCCCATGCCTTGTGAAAAGTACCTTGGAAAGGGCATGAAGTCAAACCATTCAAAGGGCAGAGAAATTTGAAGCAACAGTGGTTTCCTTGATCAAGAGACTAACCTGCCCCCTCCCCAATTCTATTCTGTCACCCTAGTCCAAGTGGCAACATGGGGAGCCAAAGTTGCTCTGCAACTATCAACAGAAATATTGCTTAGTGGAGACGGGGGAAACATGTGTCCCTCCAGATGCAGTCAGACTGCAATTCCCATAACCATCACAGCCAAGTTATAAGCGGTCAGGAGAGCTGCAGTGCAGTAACATTTGTGGATGAGTTATGCATTCTAGCTCATGCACTAAGAATAACAGGAGCTGGGAAGAACCAAAAGTCTATCTAGTTGAATTACGTTAATGTGCAGTTCCCATTGTATCACAAGCAGTAGCTAAAGTCGCCAAATGTAAAACAGGAGAAAGCTTTTCAATCTTCAGGAGATGCGCAGAAGAAGAGATATAAGCCAAACTTATGAGAATTCTCTCTTTTCGACATAACTATTAAAAGATCAGGGGACCTGTCCTCTTCTGCAGCTGGCCACCCTAACATCAGAATCAGAGTACTGGAGTATTGGACTAGGACTCGCAAGACCTGAGTTGAAATGGAAACTCAGTGGGTGATGGCAAAGATCCACCACTCCTTGAGCATCTCATGTACCTTGACAACTCTATGAGGATAACTGTAAATCAGAAGTGCACTGACACCCATAACAGCAAACTCTAACATCACACAGAGCAAACAGTTCCAGGCGAAGCCCCTTGTAAGGGAATCTATCTGTACACTAGACTCTAGAAATGCCAGGTTCTGCAGACTTTGAAAGGGCTTCTGTAAACAAATTCACTGCATTGTTCCAACAGGATGGAGAAATTCATCAGTAAAGCTTATCTTGTTACTGCAACAGTATGTTGTGGCAAATCTATTTATTCTTAGAGATACAGAAGACTTCTTCAAATCTGATCTTGCAGTCCTATGTAATAGCTCCTCTTTATTCTGGACTTTCAGGAATTGCCAGGTTTCGTGTCTTTAGTTTGTCCCAGAAAAACGGATAAGTCTCTATGTTGTGTTGCTTCCATCTATTAGAGATGAGTAATGCCTTGTGGGGAGAATGGTACCAAGGTCTATCATAGCTGTCAGAAGCTCTGCAAAAGCTAGTTTTGCCACTCCTCAAACTCTGGTACTCATTCTCAGAGAAACAAGCTACATCTCAGAGCCACCAGCAGTCCAGCCCATCTGCATGTTTTGGGGCTTCTTTTTGGTGCACTAAACTAGTTAGTACATGCCTGGTGCCTGGACTAAGTATTGCATATACAGTACAGTACATTTTGCCTATCCAGTACAAACAGTAATTTTAGCTACAGTAATTACTTTGGCACATTGTTGCTAATTGCTTGCACTAAGAACCACACGATGCCAAGGAAATTGCTTAAGTAGTACAGTACCTGACTTATAATTCACATGAGGTTTTCAATTATTTCTCTTATTAAACACACATAAACAGAAGTCCCCTCCCCAGCTGCTCTATTTTTCTGAGGTTCCACCTCTCCAGCTTTTTACCATTGGATTCCAGCTGGGCCATACTCCGACTAAACTCCTATACCCACACATTAGGCTTTTATGTTCTTCCAAGAGTTGCCAATCCTGTTAGCCTAGATTTACCGTCTGTCCTGAGTCATAGCCTTCTTTGGTACCTGAGATTTTAGCATTGCTCTCAGCATCAGTGCCATATAGCTTTAGTGGGTTGGAGTACCTGAATGTAGAACGGGAAATTCAAATCCCTCTGTGCCTGCTGGAAGAAGTGCCAGGTGATAGGGTTATGTGCCCTGACACCTGTGCCACAGTCGTCATGCTGCACACTCCCAAGGCACCACCAGGAGGGATTGGTCAATCACTGTTATAGTAGAAAACCTTGGGAGTGTTGCTGTCAGTTGGAATTGATTTTATGACATATCATTATCAGCAGTAAAGCCTCCACATTCTGAGTCACTTGCAGCTACTTTCTACCACCCTCCTATTCGAAAGTTTAATGTTGTGTTTTGTGCTTTTGCTGCTATCCACCACCAGTTTCCAACCACGTCTGATATTACAATATTTTTATTTATCCTGACTCCCTTTGTTTTCTCTTTCACACAGCAGTGTTCCCTCTCTAAAGAAAGAATTCAAACGTTTATAACATTTGTCTGCCTTACTGTACAAGGGTAGATCTACAATATGGTAGGCAAGGTGAAGCTTCTTGGCATGGCAGTGGTGAACAAGGAATCTGGTGCAGACTGAAAAGCAGTCTCCCTACCATTTCTCCAAGTTTCAGAACTAAACCTTTCCATTTCAAAACAGGTTTTGAGAGTCCTGGCAGTGAGAAGATTCCTGCATAGCAGGCGATGGACATCTCTGTGCAAGGATTGCTGCTCTTAAAGAGTTCAGATGTGCAGCGTCCTGCCAAGCACAGCATGTCAGAGTACGAACCAACAACCAATCAACTACCTTTTAATCAGACAAAAGTGCTGTAAATGTTAAATCGACTGGCTCTCCCATCCGTGAAGACAAATAAATGGCTGTTTAATTCTCTCAACAGATGCGCGTGGCAACAGTGCAGAGGGTAAAAACAACACTGGTGCAACATACGCAGGCGTAGCAGCCGGCAGTAGTAGATGCAGATAAAAAAAAAGGCGACAACCCGACACGCACGGTCGCGGGGACACAGCACCAGCTACGCTCCCAAAGGCTGGGGAACCTTCGCCTGCGTTCCGGCCTCGCTATTGCAGCGGGCGCGCCCGCGAATTCCTAGGCGCAGGGCTCTATGGCGAGGGTGCGCGTGCGACGAAGGGGCGGACCTTCGTCCACTCGGCTCAACGCAAAGCCAGGCTTGCCCAGTCCAGAGAATTCCACTGGATTCTCGGCCAGCTGTTGTTTGGGATTGGTTTGCCTTACCTCACCAGTTCAAAGTGCGGGTCTCTGACGTCACAATGGAGCCGCGCGTTCCATTGGCCGCTGGCCCTGTCAGTCAGGGGGAGCTGGACTGGTTCGCCGGGTGTTTGCCTTCTTTTTCCTTTGACAGCCGGCGGCGGCGGAGACGCAAAGGGTTGTGGCGGCATTCCATTCAGGGCGAGTGGCGTGATCTCGTTAGTGGCCATGGTACGGCTCGGACGGAGCCTCCTCTAGGGGTCAGGTACGTCTTGGCCTTCGTGGGCCCCCTGCGCGCTTGGTCAGAATGCCCCGGGGAAAGCCGAACTCTTGCTCCCTCCTCCCGGTTATCATATCGCTTTGCGGAAAGCAAGAGCGAGAAGATTCGAGAGTTCTTACGTTGCACATTACAGCGGTGTAAACTGTCATGTGCAACGTACATTGCACGTTACAGTTTGCACTGTAAAATCCCCCAGGATTTTAAAAGGCTAGGGGAAAATCCTAGCCCTTTTAAGATCCTGGGGGGAGGGCGGCCACTGCGAAATGTAAGCCCTTTCCCTTTAACCTCCGCGATAGAGCTGGTGGAACAGAGGGAGCAGGCGATGGGAGGCTGCCTGTCGGCGGCCCGGGGGAAAAACAGCTGAAAGTGTTTGGGAGTTGTTGGCGGCTGCCCTACAGGGACGAGACACGGAATTGCCCGACTCGGTGTTGTCCCTGCCCAATTGTGGCCTCATCCAGGATTATGAAAGCCCCGTAAAAATGATAATACCCCGCCTCCCCCTTATTTCAAAGCGTGTTTATTTGTGGAGGAGTTGTGTGGGGGGAGTTTGATCCGCTTGCTTTGTCGTGTACGCGGAAGCCGGGGCGGTGGTGGTGGTTGTCATTCCGCATTAACTCGCTTAACGGGTAATACAGGCACAATTCTGTGGGAGGCCATAAATTGCTGAATAACCACCGGAGACGGAGGCCGTGGGCCCAGTCGAGACGCCGTTTCGTTTTAAGACTGTTTTGTCTGCGCGGCCCCTCCCGCGCTTCCACGTTGCCAAGGCAACCCTAAGGCCTTGCCGTTGCCTTGGCTGCTGAGCAGAAAACATTGGTGTGTGTGTGTGTGGGGGGGGTCCCGGGGCCGTGTGCTGAGCCCCTGGCCTGGGGGGGGGTTGGCTCGGGGGGAGAGGCGCCCCGAGGAACGCCCCAGAAGCTGAAACGCCATCAGTCTCACAGGGCCGGATGTTGTGTCGACGGACAACACAAAACACACAAGGGCGAAAGGAGGGCCTGGCTGGAGCCCCTCGAGAACAAAACACGCTGAGGGGGAAAAAACCCCACAACCTTCGCTCCCAAGCGGCGTAAGAGGGCGGAGTCGTTCCGCTTCCCACAAACAGAACTTGTGGGGGATATGACCAGTAAAATGGTGCCAAATGACTAGGATGGAAGCTTAATAAAACAGTTCCCATTTTACAAAATCCTGATAGCAAGTAAGGTTTAATTTTTTAAGACCAGCAGATGATGAGGGGTGGGATCCGGTAGAGTTTTAAACCCAGGAGTTTATAAAGCATATGCTTGGAAATAATTTATACGATCACACAGCAAGGCATGGAGTGTGTTCTTGTTTCTGTTAGGGGGATAATATGTATGTGGGCCTCTGGAGTGGATGGTTTCCTCCACATTACTGGATGATCCGTGACATAGTTTGGCCTGGGAATCCTTGCCCCTGATCTGAGTAGGTGAACAGGCTATCTCTAGTTTTGGCATAAGTAGGATATACAGAGAGACACTCCATCACCTTAGTAATTCTTTGACTATTCTAATATTCTGGAAATCGATTGTTTAATGTGAAAATGAGATCTGGTGTATCAGTACTGAGGGTGGGGTCTTTCTGCTTATTTCCCAAAGGAGGAAACCTTCCCTGCTGTGGAAGCTGCCTCTTCTTCTGCTGCCCCAATAAAACAGAGACAACAAGGTAAGGCCCCCAAAATGCTAATAAAGTGTTTGACCAACAACCAGGTTGGAGAGTGTCCAGAAGCAAAAGAGAGCAAGGCTTTTGCATGGTTAGCAGTTGGAGGATTTCTTGGGTGTAACTTCTGCAGCAACACAAGAAGGTGGAAGAGTCTTGTACAACTTTGAGTCTGGCCAGGAAAGGGAGTCAAGAAAGGGAGACACAAATATGAGGACAACCCCAAATTTGCAATGGGGTTTCTGCTGAAGTGGTGTTTTTCCACCCTATCCTATCCTTGTTGCTCCAACACTAAATTTTGTGCAAGGCATACTGGTGGAAAAAGTTAGACGAGCACAAAGGGGATAGGAACAAAGAGAAGCTTTGTGACTTCAGCTAGAAGAGTCAATTGTTTGAAGGAGCTGATTTTGAATATCATCATAAAAAGATAAAGGCAGTATTAGTGACTGGTCTGTAAAAATAGCAAGCTGTTGTGGAGGCCCAGGAGCCAGCAGTGGTGCACCCACTTGATGCACTTTTTTTCACAAGGTGCCACTAGCCTGCAAACCTTGTGAGTGTGAGCTGAACAGCAGCATGGAAGAGTCCAAACAGACCAGGGCAGATCTACAAATTGGCAGGCAAGCTGTGCTTCATAGGTTGCAGCATGATTGGATCACTAACCCCCCTCGCCTCAATAGATTTCCTGTTGGTGTTGCCACTGCAGGTACTCTTCCTGCTCCTGCAGCAGTCTAATCTCTTAAAAACTTAATGACTGGCTGCTAAACCGCTTAATGCATAAAGATACTTAAGGAAGAGGCATGGGGCAGTACCATATTTTTCAAGGAGTGTGGCTAGGTCAGGTCAGATAGAGCCATCTTGATGAAAGATTGGTTCCCTGCAGCACACCTCATTCTCTCTTGCTGCTTCTCTCTGTATGTATGTATGTGGCTGTGCTGCAGTGAAAAACATATGGGTGCAGCTCCACACTGACCTGTTGCTGTGAAGCAGCATCTGCTTAGTTGAAGCAATTTCAACCACAGTAGGTGGTGGATAGCTGGGGTTAAAAATAATCATGGCTTGATAGAGTTACTTTTTTGGATTTCACTCCCAGAATCCTTCAACGTGTATGGCTGGTGACCATGCTGTCTCAAGAATTCTGGGACGTACAATCCAAAAACAACATCTACAAGTTTGGGCAGTAGCACCAGGATCTTTCTATGTGGAGCTGGGTCTACACGACTGTTATAGTACTCTAATTTTAGTAGTGAATGAGGTCTAAGTCTCTGAACAGACAGAAGGAGAAGTTGCTGTTGCAGTTTGCGCTAGAAACCTTGTTGGTTCGGGAAGGGAAGATTGCTATAGTATGCTTACAATTTGATCTGAACTGGAACAATGTACCTAGATCCTGTTGTAGCCAAGCAGGCACCAGTCACAAATTATCCAATCTGTATTAACTCTTTGTGGTAGTAGATGCCCATAGGTTGTACAATACAGCTTCCTCGGAGCTTTGTGTAAAACTGGATGCTCTCTGATAGAGGTGGAATATCACACAATCAGTGATCTGTTACAGAACTGTTGGTAGTATTAGTTGTCACCTCTTTTTTTAAAAAAAAATGACAGTGATGCACTGGTGACATAGACTAAACCTTGTAGATGTCTATTGAAGTCAAGGTTCTTAGGTTAGGGAAGAAGAGGATTGTTGTCTCCCCCCACCCAAATAATTATTTTCTCTCCCTGTATAAGGCTATGAGAGTCTTTACAGAAATGCCTTCCAGTGCTTGATCCTAGTCACAAAGTCATGGACATTGTACTGTTGATTTTCTTAGTCCTACATAGATAGCAGAAAGGCACTGGACAAAACCAGGACCCGCCCAGTTTTCCTTGATAATAGTTTGGTTCCATTTGTGGCTAATGAGGATTTCTGGCTTTTGGAGGATAGTTTTGCAAGATATGTGAATAAGTGCTTTTGTGGTCTAGCCCCCCGTATATATCTGCTTGGAAGGAATATCCACTATGTTCACTGAAGCTTTTTCTAGTGGGGAAGAGAGTGTACATCTGGGAACGGGATTGTGGGTGGTTTGGTAGCTGCAATTAGCTTGGAGATTATTTTTGAGTAGACATGTATACAACTACACTGTGGCAGAACATTCCTAGGCATACAGTATTTATTTGAAGCAGGTATCGCAGAAGTTAGTAGGGCTATAACTCCCAAATAACTTATAGAAAGTTAGACATGGTAGGGATGTACAACCTGAAGCTGTCAGTTGCTCCTTGTGCAACTAGCTGGACTCGACCCATATTCCCTTGAAATTTAGGAAACCAAGTGGACTACAAATCACACTGCTTCAAAATGGCTGTTTACTTGCTGTTAGTTGTGGTACAAGTGCTCATATAGTTCACTGAATTAGAGCACCTGGTTCTTTCTACCTACCTACCAAGTGTTGTACAATTTAAATTATGGATGTATATAAAATATAGGTAAAAATAAATACAGATTAAAATTCTAGAAATTATTGTCATTTGTGGTCCTAAAGAGATAGTTGGGTCATTTTGGTCATCAGCAAATTTGCAGTGCAATGCTTCTAGAAGAAGAACTTGGTTGCAGAGAGGCCAGCCATGATGATCGTCTGAATGAGCTTTATGGCACACAATTTCTTTTTGATAGTCGTGGGGAAAGGATCGTCTCAGTGGAGATTGGTTAGGAATGGAAGCAACCCAAGGATTGTGTGTAGAGATGGGAATATTCATATTTGTAAATGAATACAAATATCCATGTCCAAGGTGTACCTAATGTGGGTCTGGCCTTCAGAACCAGCCTGTCCACTCACGTGCCACTGCAGTGCCAGCATCCCGTTCTTCCCACCAATCGTGAAAGTAGCTCTGCCGTCTCCTGGCTCAGCTGGCCACTCTAGGCAGGGGGTGGGAGGACACGTCTCCCTGACTGGCTGCTAAGTGGCCAGCCAGGCAAGGAGATGGGGGAACTACTTCCACAATTGGCATGAAGAACAGGACACTGATGGCGTGGCAGATAGTGAGTGGATGGGCCGGTTCCAAGGGCTGGATCTTCATTAGGTGCACCTGGGATGGGGATATTCGTGTTCATTTACAAATACAGATATCCCCATCTCTAATTGTGTGTTTCAGGGGGTTGCCCTGCCATCCTGCCAACACTAAATGCTGCCCTAAGGGCTGACATGATTTTGCACCATTGATGAATAGGATTACATCATGAACCTCTTGAGTCAAGATTAAACCAGACGTTAAGGGGAATAAAATTTTCCTCACATTAAATCATTTTCTCACACAATGGGGTTTCCTCAGAGCAAACATGACAAATGCAAAATACATAGTTAAGGAAAATAATGTGCTATGATAATGTGCAAAGCAAAAGAGGAACAACTTTAGTAATGTTTCCTATGAAAATTTCCCAATACTACTAGGTTTTGCTTTGTTTTGTGAGTTCCTAGATCTCATCTCTACTGTATATGTTGGTTTCTGGGGTTGGTCCAGTATGTAGGGCAGCTTTCCAATCCCCCTTTAAAGTTATTCACATTAGGAGCCATCACTGTTTTTTGTAGTAGCAAATTGTATGAAGGAATACCTGTACTTTGTTTTAGCTGACTTGAATTGGCTTTGGTGGATGACCTAGCTTCTAGTACTGTATAATGGAAGAGGGAGAGACATTTCTGCTTATCTACTTCCAACATGCCATACATAATTTTTTACACTCTGTCATCTCCACTTCCACCTTCTTCTAGGTTAAAGGGTTCCAACAGTATAACCTTTCCACATAGTTACTCCAGGCCCTCATCATTTATATTGCTCTTTTCTGCACCTCTTCCTAGTTATGTCCTTTTTGAGAATCCTTCAAAAAAGACCTGAACAGCTTACCAGTGTTCCAAATGTGGTCAACGTTGTAGTTTTGTATAAGGGTAGATTGATGTTGGCAGTGTTGAACAATTATCAGTTCCTTTCCTAATAATCCCCCAAAGTACAGTTTGGTGTTTCACTGCAGCCACACACATGCTGGGTTCCTTGAGCTATTATCCATCACAGACCCTGAGATTTCTTTCCAGTCAGATGCTGTCAGCTTCATAGGAGGAGTGTAAGAGTCTTTATTTGGATGCATTAAGTTTTCTACGTGTGTTTCTGGAGTGCTCAGATTCATGTGGGAGGCCATTCTGCTTGGTTTGTTTTCTCAACCATGCAGACTCCAAATGTGTTACACTGCATCTTTCAGCATCTCCAGCCAGAAAGATTTGGGATTAGGAAGGCTATTGTTTGGATGGTGCTGCCGGCGGTACTACTTCTGTCCATAAGAGAAAGCTCACAGACTGTGTTTCTGTTCTGAATACAGTCTAATTGAATGGATGTAGACATAGCTCAGTGAGTTAGGAATTTGGCTGCAGAGCCAGAGGTTGGGAGTTCAATTCCCCAACATGTCTTCAGGGAGAAAAGCCACCCTATGTGACCTTGGGCAAAGTGTGCAGCCCAAGAAGACGGGAATGATGATAGAATCATTGAAGTTGGAAGGGGCCTGTGAGACCATCAGGTCCAACCCCATGCTTGATGCAGGAATACAAATCAAAGGATATCTGCCAGGTGGCTGTCTAAGTTTCTGTTGAATGCCTCCAGTGTTGGAGTACTCACCACTTATCAAGGTAATTGGTTCCACTGTCGTACTGCTCTAACAGTTAGGAAGTTTTTCCTTAACCACCTCTGAGCACTGTACACCTAGAAAACCCTGAAGAAGGTCACCATGAGTCAGAATTGTTGGAACATTATTATCATCATCATCTTGCATACATTTTGCAACCTGAATGCAGATGTGCCAGTCTTTTGATGCTGAGCTTTTGGGGCAGAGGAAAATCCAACATAGAAAAACGAAGAAAGTCAGAGATCACAGAAAAGGTCCTTTAAAACAACTGTTTGTTTATTTAAAAAGAATTAAAATGAATTTCACTCACTTACCAGGATAATTAAAATCATGTATCTACAAGTGAGAAGGTTAATAGACAACAAACATTTTGAAGTTCAGCAGTATTGCAAAACACAGCAAATGGCATACCAAAGCGTATGGTGTGTGGGTGTGTAGAACTGGCTGTGAAGAGGCAGGTGGCAGACCAAAATGTGTCACTGGTATTTGCTGTCAAGTGTTGTTATGTGCCATCAAGACACTTCCAACTTACTGCAAGGCAATGAGTTAATGACCTCCACAGATGGTTGAACTTACTGCAATGCAATGAGTTAATGACCTCCACAGATGGTTCCATCATTAACGGCCATGCTTGGTCTTTTAAACTAAAGGCTGTGGGCTTCCTTTATTGAGTCAGACGACATCATTTTAGCTCATTCTGTTTTCCCTTCATTTCCACTTCATTTTTTCTGTCTTCCCTATCAGGTTTGAGTTTTGTCTTGTCATTATATGAGGAGGAGTTTAATGTGCACACCCCTGTTCATAAGCACACTTTGAGCCTGACATGCTTTCAGACTGCTGAGTGAATAGGGCTAGAGAGAGAAAAAAATCCAGTTGATTTATGGACCAATTATGTAGAAGAAAAGATGTAAGGTTATGTCTGTTATCTTGTGGACACTGGAATCTTTAACGATGAGAAGAAGTTAAGTATATCTGCTCTTTGTATATCAGAATGGAATCTTTAACGATGAGAAGAAGTTGTTAAGTATATCTGCTCTTTGTATATCAGATCATATCAGTCTGATACCACTCTAACTCAAACTTCCGTTCAGTGAAATTCTGGTATCTTTGGTGAGATACTTAGACTGCTTGTTGCATCAGAGGAGACCTGAATGAGGCTGTTAATATTAAGACTTCTTGTAGATTATTAAATTCTAAGGTTGCTATACGTTGGATGCAGCTTGGTGATACCCAACAATAGCAACTTCAGAGCAGTCAGTCACTAGAGCTTTCTAGCAGAAAATTGTAAGGGCCTCACCAACTTGCAGTTCCAGCATTTCTTAAGATGGAGCTGTAACATTTGGAGTAGCATTGAATTGATACAAGCATACTGTGTTGTTGCACCTAGAGAAGGCTGTGGAGTGGGCTGAAGAGGTGCTGGTGGAATTGCTTTCCTGAGAAGAGACGAAGACTCTTTTGGATGAAAGAGTCAAAATCCAAAGATTTTATTGCCTTTATACATCTTGTCAAGTTTAGCAAGAGTGGTCTATCAACTAGATAGGCGGCCTAGAGTGGTCTATCGACTAGATAGGCGGGATATAAATAAAATAAATAAATAAATAAATAAATAAACAAAACCAAACCCAAGTTATTGATATATGATGGTCCATAAAGACAGATTTCAATACAACACCAGTCAGTTTGAGAAAAGTAGTACTGTATTTTCTTTTATTCTTCCTGGCAGTGGTGGGGAAGGGACGGAAAGAGATGCTTTATGCTGGCACCTCTGTAGGTACCTGGGGTAGAGTACACAGAATTAGAAATGCCATTGTCTAGTAAAAACAAAACAGCTGTGTCATCTTAAAGACTATCAGATTTCAACATGAACCTTTGTGCGTAACAAGACACTTCCTCACACATAGACAAGGGATATTCCTGTGATTATTTTAGAATAATATCTTCCACAGTGACAGAAATCAGCTTGATAGGCATGCCAGACTTTTGAGACAAAGTTGTCTTTTTCTCTGCCAGATCAGTTTCAACTTAATGTTGGGGATTGCAAGCTTTAAAGATACATGCAGCTGAACACAAAAATCATTTGACTAATAAACAAGCAGGCTAACATCAAATTAGTCGGAGGGGGGTGGACTTTTCTGTGTCAGAGTCCCTTAGGCAAGGCAGTCTGCAAGTATTGACAGGTAGAGGAGGAGGAGATTATGGGGCAGTGGCTCACCAGTGAAGGTAGCTTTTCTGTTTTGCTTTTCTGTCCTGATTGGCCTGAGGAGCCTTAATGGAGACAGTGATTCCCCATTCACCCCCAGCTCTTTCCAAGACAAGAATGCAGCTTTCTTCCTACCTGCAGGTTATTTCTTTTCAAAAGATCAGCCTTTCAAGGTACATTGTCATGTCTCCTTTCCTTTCCTCCTCAGTTCTTCACCACAGCACAAGTGGACAATATGGTAGATTACTATGAAGCGCTGGGAGTGCCCCGCAATGCCTCACCAGATGACATCAAGAAGGCGTAAGTTGCATTTTCCCTATTTCCACCTGTGGCCACCAGCATGCCAAAAGAAGACATAATGAAAAGCTATGCCTGTGGCCACCAGCATGGGGTAGCACGAGAAGTTTCTCAGAAGATTTGTCTCTACTGCAATGTGTTATCAATTGCTTGGCTGATATATATTATTGTTGGCACAGCGTCCTCAACTGTAGAAAAGCGCAGATGCCAAAAGAAGACATAATGAAAAGCTATTTGGCCCAGCATTCCCAATTAAATAAATTTGTTCACCTCTTGCTTAGTATGGTCTGGGCATTTCCTAAAGATGTCTTCACAGCATCTGGACATTTCTTAAAGAGGCATACATAACAGGACAACTTTCAAAACAATTTACCAAGTGAGGAAATCTGTGTATTCTTGCAAAAAAGATATTCTGCTACCCACTCCAGTATTTATACAGAACTCAGAGCAGCTAACTCAAAAGGTAAAGGTAAAGGTTCCCCTTGACTTTTTAGTCAGTCGTGTTCGACTCTAGGGGCCGGTGCTCATCCCCGTTTCCAAGCCATAGAGCCAGCGTTTTGTCCGAAGACAGTTTCCGTGGTCACGGGGCCAGCGTGGCTATACATGGAACGCTGTTTACCTTCCCACCGAGATGGTACCTATTTATCTACTCGCATTTACATGCTTTCGAACTGCTAGGTTGGCGAGGAGCTGGGACAAAGCGACGGGAGCTCACTCCGTTGCGTGGATTCGATCTTACGACTGCTGGTCTTCTGACCCTGCAGCACACAAAGGCTTCTGCTGTTTAGCCCGCGGCACCACCATGTCCCTAACTCAAAATCAATAATAAAATGCAATAAATGTTAGCATTAATTTTTTTTGCAGAACAAGAGTAATGGCACATATAGAAGTACAAAACAGCAGGTATTGAAATTCAGTGCCTGCTCTCCATATGAAAAGCCCTGGTGGCTGCTGTCTAGGGTAGATATATCTGTGGCCCTCCCAATCTATCTGGAATCCAGTCTCTGTCATCCCTGAAAACCACTGGCCATCTCGCTTGGGGCTAGTGAGAACTGTTTTCCATCAACATCTGAAGAACCCCTTGTTCCTCACCCCTGTGACCAAGAACCGTCAGGGAACTGTTGTCTGTTTGGAAGAGCTGCATTTAACGCAGGGTTTTACTTTAGCAAATTTTATTTTACCTTTGGTTTTGTTTCTATGTATTTTGATACAGAGGAAAGTAAGTTTTTTCTTACTGGAGAAAAGGTGGTAGTGCAGCGAGACTTAACCACTTTCTGCTGACCCAGCAGTTGCCTCTAATGGCCTCTAGACACTCCATTCCTGTGGGAAGAGAGAGTCTTAACTTTATGTGCAAATGAATGAATCTCCATTTAATTGTACATGAAGTTTGAAGTTTAGCCCTCTCTAGGCATTTCCGTGCATGCTTGACTGGATTCTAACTGTGGTGGGGACATGGGTGGGCTCATAAGCCATATCCCCACCACCATTCAGAGACTATTATTTATTCATTTTCATTTTTATACCACCCATCTGGCCGAACACCACTCTGGGCAGTTTACAACATATAAATCTGCATGACTAAAATACAATCAACAGAACAAGGAAAAGAAACAATAACATGTGAATAAATAATACCATGGAAGTATAAAAACACATTAGCATAAAACATGCAAAACATTTAAAACCATTTAAGCACAAAGGAAAAGTGTGAGTGTGTTGGGCTGAATGTACTTAACAGAGCTCTGGGGACCGGAGCTGAACATGCTTAGGGACTCTTCAGACCTTCTCATTGGTTATAGAGAGGTCTGGTTGAGTTCAAAGTGTGCGTGTGCGTGTATGAGAGAGAAAGAGGGGGGGCACGTCTTAACATGTGTTCCCATGTTCTTGCTATAATGACATCCTTATTTATGTGTTCAGATGAATTTCTTGAGTGGGGTTTTTCTCTTCCCACCTCTTCTACTTCTCTGACTAGATGAGGTCCCAGTGGAGATGGACTAGGAGGGATGCCGAAGTGAGAGATGAATGAGTCTCTGTGCTGCTTATTCTCACAAAAATACACCCCAGCAGTGTTGATGGTGGTGATTGTTTCTGTGAAAACAGGTACAGGAAGAAAGCCCTGCAATGGCACCCGGACAAAAACCCAGACAACAAGGAATTTGCTGAACAGAAGTTCAAGGAAATAGCAGAGGCCTATGAAGTGCTCTCGGACAGTAAGTGGGTGGCCTTCTTTTTCTCCTTCCTGCATCCTTCAGCCTTCCCGGCCATTTTGGTCCACCTAATAATCTGGTTCTTTTGGTGGGGCCCCTTCAAACGACTGAGGGGGATATTTCATTGTGCAGGAGAGCTTGTTCACTTGTTTGGTTTGGGGATGTTTGACAAGGTATCCATTCCATGTATTTTATAGGCACCAACACTCGAATATGAGCTCAAGGTGTATTCACTCACCTGACAATTAACTGTTGTGAAAACTGAGCGTGCTTTGGAATGATTTTTCTTTAAAGCAGGGCCAGGAAAAGTGCACCCCTCTAGATGTTGTTGGACTGCACTTCCCATCAGTCCTAGCTAGCATAACCTATGGTGAGGGATTCTGAGAGTTGCAGCCCAACCTCTCGACAGCTGAACTTTGGGCACTTCAGCTTTGAAACTGACACTATTAATTATGTGTTATTCCTCTCTTTCTCCTCTTCCTCCTTCTGACACTTCCTTCCTTCCTTTTTCCTACTCTCAGCCACCCTTTGTCATGTGGTCTTAAATAAGATAGGCTTATTTTTCACGCTTGTTGCAAGATAGGGATGGGGAAATGATTAGAGCCCCTTTCAGATGCTGTTGGACAGCAATTCCTGCCAGTCCAATTCACCACAGCCAAAGAGGAGGGATGACTAGAATTGCAGTCTGATAATACTGTATCTGGAATGTCTACAGGTTTCCCACTCCTGGTTTTGGTATTCTGGAGGTCACGTACATTCTCTGAGCAAGCAAATCTGTCTAAGCCAGAGATAAGGGAACATGGAGCACTCCAGATGTTGTTGAAGTGAAACTCCTATCTTTCCTCATTGTTGGTTGTGTTGGCTAGAGATGATGGAAGGAGCCTTTAGCAGCACTTGAGGGACACAAATTCCCTAACAGGGATCTGTGCCAAGTGTAAGGGGAGAGATGTTTAACCTTTTTGATGCCTAACCAAGTGTTTTCTGATTTCAGAGGGCAAGCGTGAAGTCTATGACCGATATGGCAAAGAAGGTCTCATGGGTGCAGGTATGCAGCCTGGTCAAGATCTGAATGAGGTTGGGGCAAGCAAGGCAGATAGATGCCAGTGGGGCACTTTAAAAACCAAGGGTCAACTCAAGGGGGGCAGCCCACATTGTTGGTGGGTGAGGGTGGAAAAGAGGAAATTAGACAAGAACTGATGGATTGTTGTGCTGTGCAGCTCAGAAACATGCAAGGTTCCTTCTTAGCTGCTTTTGCATTGGAGCAATAGCGTAATGAACAGCTTTCACAGAACTGTGCCTAAGAGAACTTGATGAGGTTAGGTGGCTACTTCTGTCACTGAGCCCTTGACTTGATGACACCAAACCTTCTTTGTTGTTGGTCCCAGACTTTGGAAATCCTTCCCATGGGAATCTGGGCTGGCCCCATCTTTGCTGTCCTTCTGCAGGCAGGCAAAGACCTTTCTGTTCAGGCAGGCATTTCCTTAATGACTTGTGGTCTGAGAGGGGTTTTTAATGAGCTGTTGTGCTCTGTTGTTTTAAATGTCTTTTTAAAGTTGTTCTTAGTTACCATTTTAATATAATATTTGTATAATTCTTAAATATCTGTATACTTACTGTTTTTAGGTTTTAAATACTGCTTTAATTATCTAAGCCACTGTGGGTCCTTTTGGGGAGAACGGCGGGATAGAAATGTTTTATATAAATTACAGCTTGTGCTGCAGCTAGTGGGGGTATGCCATTTGTCTATGTGGTTATTTTAGCTGAGTTGAGTTTTTTGGACTCCAACTCCCTGAATTCTGTAAGAATTCCCCAGGCAGAATTCTGGCAGTTCTTGCTCACTGACACATACCTATACATACCAACATTTCACCAACTTGGAACGTGGCCTACCTTTCATGCTGTCTTGGCTTGTTTTCAGTACAAAAAGGGAAGTGCTCCAGTGCTTTATGGGAGGTCTAGTTCTTTGTGGGAGACATAGTTCTTTGGGGGCACCCTATATAGAGCCTATTGGGCAGCAAGACCTCCCTCAAAGACCTTGCCTTCCTAGGTAGCATTGTGGCAATTTCTTTTTTGTACAGGAAATAGGCTCAAGACAGCTTGGAAGATAGGCCCTGTTTCAGGTGAGTAAAATGCAGTCGTGTTTCTGTGAGCAGAAACTCCTAGAATTCTGCCTGGGTAATTCTTGGAATATTTTGGGAGTTGACATCTAAATAATTGAATGATTCACCTCTATTAACTAGGCTTTTCGTGCCCCTGCTCCCATGATTGCAGAGCTGGAATCTTATTGAGTCCAAAAGCATGCTGGGTTTCATCATTTTCACTGGCATTTCTGTTTGCATGAAACGGATTGGTCCTCTTATCCAGCTGCGTATTGTTGATCTTAGTTCCAATGCCCTTGGAATTGATGCTTGATAAACTGCCTGGGAAGAGCCTCCTGGCACAGTAGTTAAATCGCTGTAGTGAAGCCAAAACTGTGTTCAATCCCAGGTAGCCGGCTCAAGGTTGACTCGGCCTTCTATCCTTCCGAGGTCGGTAAAATGAGTACCCAGTTAAGGGGGTGGGGGCGCAATGTGTAGCCTGCATAATTAACTTGTAAACGGCCCAGAGAGTACCTGAGGCACTTTGGGGCAGTATATAAGCAGCTCACTTTGCTTTGCTTTAAAGAAACAGCACGATGCCATGCATAGCTGGCATGCTTTGGTTCAGCAGGTCTTGATGTCAAATATTGCTAGCTAATCAGTGCCCTAAAGCCTCAGCTCTGGTCAGTGGTGAGAATGTGTCCTCCTCTTCCCATGTCCCTCTCCAAACACACATTAATATGTGATTTCTTCCTTTACTCCGCAGGTGGGCCCAGTGAATCCAGGCCTCACGCAGGGCCTGAGTTCACCTTCACTTTCCGCAGCGCCCATGACGTTTTCCGGGAGTTTTTTGGAGGGCGAGATCCTTTTGCTGATTTCTTTGGTAGGTGCCACCTTCTCTTCTCAACCTACTATCCCTCTGTGTTGTAATGGGGAGAACAAAGACAAGCCACAGGGCACACTTAAGACAAATCTAATGTAGCAGGAGTTTTCATGGACGTATGGCCCACTTCCTCAAATTATTAGTACTTATTAAATATTCAGTGTTGTACAGTATTAAATACTTTCTAAGTGTCACATAACCTTTCTGCAGGGGATCAACTCAGTGACAGCAGGCTTTTCTTCCCATGTGGGTGTGCACACATGCATATAGGAAGACTGTAAGATGAAAGAAAACTAGAAAAAGTCCATATGTATATGTATTTGTGCCTACATATGGAAGCAGGACCTTGCTTTGTAGAGGTGTAATTGCCTGGGAGATTTTCTATTGTAGTAAGTGACTTCTCTTCTTGATGTCTTTCCAGATGACCCTTTCTCTGACTTGCATGGGCCTGGCCCCCGACATCCCGGAGCTGGACCGTTCTTCTCACCATTTCAAGCATCCCCTGGTAAGGAAGGGTGCGCTGGAAAAATCAGTGTGGTCTCCAGTTTCATTTCTCTGTTCAAAATCCCACAGACCCCATCTTTTGCCCTGTAACTAGGATTTCAGTCTCCCCTTGACCATATGTGTTGCCTGCCATGAGCCCATTGGCAGCTGTGCTTGGAAGACTCTCAGAATGAAGCTTTTATTCCTCCAGCATTTCATCTTTCTGGCTGGGTCCCTCCCTCTCCCGATCCCCTGCTGCCAGCTGTGTACCCCCTTACAAGCTACTCTGCTGCTCTTTTTTCCCCCAGAGTTCTTTTCCCCCACGCTTGGTCCAGGTGTCAGTGGAGGAATGGGATTCAGATCTGTCTCCACTTCCACCAGGTTCATCAACGGCAAACGCATCACAACCAAGAGGTAAGCTTAGCTTTAATCTACTTCTGCCTTCCTTTATGTCCCTAGCACCTTCTGGTCTTGCAGGATGGATTTGGGGCCCTTTTCCAGTATAGTTTAGTCCATTTGTCCCCAACCTTTTTCGATCCGTGGACCGGTTCAGTGGGCGGGCGGGTGATGGCGGCGTCCATGCGTACATGGGCAGAGCATATCCACTTCTGTGCATATGGAGGAGGAGCGTCCGGGGGTGTGTCTGTGGGCGGGGCATGCATACATCAGCGCGTGTAGGGGGGGTCATGTGGGTGGAAAGATCTGTCTCCGTGGCCCAGTCCTGCCAAGGCCTGGTTTAGTCCATCCTTTACATGTTATCCCTGAGTCTAGCATTACTCTCCTATTCCTTTCTGATACCTTGCATCAGCAAAAGCTGAGTGTGGGAAGCTCCTAACTTTCTGGGTTTTGTTGGAGTACATTTCTATCAGCCTCAACTACCTTAGCTGTTTTTTGTCTTTTTGTTTTTGGTTTGAGGATGATGGGGTTTGAAATCCAAAACTGTGGAGGGCTACAAGTTCCCCATCACAGGATTCCTGTTGTAGAACTCTGTGTTGTATTGCTAATTCCTTTTCCACAACAGAACACTTCTACATATGCAGTATAGTAAGGCACTGGGAGACATTATACAGAAGCTACCGTACAGAAGCTATCTTTCACTGACTGTGCCCAGTGGTTCATCTGTTGCAGCACTGCTTGTTTGAACGAGCAGTGACTTTTCAGGATTTTGGACAGAAGCATATCCAGTTCTGAGACCCAGTGTGATGTAACTGGAGATGTTTGGGACTGACACTGTGAAATTTTTGCATGCAAATCTTGTTGGGTGTATTATAGCTATGTCCAGGAGGAATAGTAAGGGCCACTTTCAGTTGATTGAGGACTGTACTGCTGAACTGTCGGACAGGTATTTTGTGCTGTGTATTTGGATATTTTAAAGTAATTTTTTTGAAAAATGTGTCATAGCGCTGGGGAGTAGGGTGAAGTAGGGCAGAAATAAAGTAGTCTTCGTCTGATTGTCCATGTTTTTTCCCCTTCTCTGCATGTGTGGCCAAGTACATTCTTGCTAAGAGTTATCATGTCAGGGTTCGGAGTTCAGACTGCTCTAAATGATGATGCACTTGTCTGAAGGATCAGGTTTGTAGTTTGGGAGTACTCTAAAAACCAGAGTTGGTCCTGGATGCCCAAGTAGCTGCTGTGGCCAAAGATGTTTTGCATAGCTTCAGCTGGTGTGTCTGCAAGGCTATATCCCGGAAAAAGTGATTTGACTGCAGTGCTTACATGCTTTGGAAACCAGCTGTCTAGATTACTGTAATGCATTCTGTGCAGAGATACCTTTTATGAAAATCTGGAAACTGCGGCTTGTACAAGATGGAGTGGTCAGTCTGCTTTCCAATGCCTCCATTGGTCATCAGAAGATGGCATACATTTTCCAGACCATGTTACATTTATTTTATATCTATTACACTGGTTTCTTGGATGTTTGGCATTTATCCTGTTTCCCCAAAAATAAGATCTAACCTGAAAATAAGCCCTAGTATGATTTTTCAGGATCCTCATAACATAAGTCCCTACCCCCCAGAATAAGCCCCAGTTAAATGAAAGTCCTCCCTCCACCATTGTGCAGCAACCAGAAGATGATGACATGACTGTATTTGAATAAATGTAGATTGTTGTACATGAAAAAATTGAAACATCTCCTGAAAATAAGCCCTAATGCATTTTGGAGCAAAAATTAATATAAAACCCTGTCCTATTTTTGGGAAACACGTTAACTGTAAAGTCCTAAGCAGCTTTAGGGCCTGGGTATCTAAAAGACTGCCTCCTGTCCTGTATATGGATGTTTCATGTGTGTCACCATCAAAAGAGGCTCATTCAGTGGGAATACAGGAGCAGGGCCTTTTTGCAGCTGAAAAGCATATAGAAATGTTTTAAGAGGCAAAGCATCCTGCAGCAGGTGGAGAGAGGGAGGCTTCTTTAGCGTTGAGCTTTTTTATTAGTTCACTTTTACCAGCTGCTGCTCAAGAGGACTAGAACCAACCTTGTCTTGTTAGATGAATCTCAGGCTCTCCTGCTTGAAGAAATCCTCTTAACTTAACCACTCTGGTACTTCCTGTCCTGTCTTGCAGTCTGATAGAAAAAAGGCTAGTTTGTGGGGAGGGGGGATGGAGGAGTACTGACCAATAAAACCTGCAGGTTGGTGCTCACTGCCCACCCCTCTGAGATCTAGGGGAAACCAGCTGCCTGGCCATGCTGAGCCTGCTGGTGCCGGGAGCTTTCCAGGCCAGGCGCCGCTCATCATTGGCAAGGGCAGACGGCGTATGGTAGAGACATTTGCTGCCTTTCCCAGGTAACCTTTTCTCTCATTCTTTCCTTTCATCCCATCCTCTTAAGGATCATTGAAAACGGGCAAGAGAGAGTGGAGATGGAAGAGAATGGGGAGCTGAAATCTATCCAGATTAATGGTACGCAACACTAAGGGAGAGGGGGATTCTGAATATCCTGGAGCAGGGTCTTCCATGAGCTCTGCCAGCACACTGCTTTCTCCAGTCAGGGACCAGAAACTTGAGCTTTCCTGAATGCCTTCTGTATGATCTCAACCTGTCTCCTTGGAGACAAAGAGCAATTGGAGACACTTGTCCCTATGGTGTTGTCTCAGAGGGAGAGAAACCTTTAAAGAATGGGCTCGCTCTGCAAAGTGTGGAGTCAGTAGGATGTTCCTCAGTCCAACTTTCAAAGCAACAGGCATTGGAAGGGAGCTCCCTTGTGGTGATGCTCTGGACTTTTGGAAGGTGGAAGACAGGGGGAGGGGGGCATTTCAAGATTGTGGTGAACAGTGTTGAGGGAAAGGAACAAAGCTTGGGAAAACTGCTGGGGGGGGGATGACAACATCTGGAACACTTCAGCTAGCAAGGTCACTGGGTGATTCTAGGAGATGAAAGCCCAAACATTAAGATCTGCACAGAAGGGAGGTGAAGTTGGCTGGGTATGCTGAGCTAGGGAGGGAGGCTTTTTCCCCTAGCCTAAACATCCATTTGAGGGTATTCCCTGGGGGGGGGGTGGCGGCGGTCACCATGGGTTTGCACAGTGCTGCTGCTGCTGCTGCTGTTGCAACCCACTTGAAGACCAGCAGTGGAAGGCAAGGAGTCAGGATCAGGCATGAGTCAGCTTGGCCTTCTGGATCCTTTGAATTGTATTTCTCAGAAGCCTCAGGCACCATGTTCAGCGGGCTGCACTCCCAAACATCTGGAGGGTGAAAGCTCCCGAATCCTGGTGGGGGTGGGTTGCTCAGAGTGGGGATGTAACAGGGCAGTGAGCATTTGTGGAATTGGATTGAGGTAGGCTGTGGCAGAGTAGAAGTAGGATTTTTCTCGCTGCTGTTTCAGACCCTTCCCTTTGCAGGTGTTCCAGACGACTTGGCGCTCGCCTTGGAGCTGAGCCGGCGGGAGCAGCAGCAGCAGCAGGCCCTGCAAAACCGTAGGGTGTCGTCTTCTCCCCCGGCCACGCCACCTCAGCGGCCTCCCCCGAAGCGCCCATCCCCCAGCTTGTCTCCACTGACCTTGTACACGGACAGCGACGAGGACGACGAGGACTTGCAGCTGGCGATGGCCTACAGCCTGTCTGAGATGGAGGCCAAGGGCCAGCACAGAGCAGGTGCGAGAAGCCCCATGAAAAAGCGGCCTCAAGGAAAAGCCCAATTGCCGCAAGGGAGTCCGGTCTTGGATGGTCAGGTGGCTGGGGGGCCATCTAGAAGCCCCTCGGGGGCCGGGGGCGGTGGTGGGCAAGGGCAGGGCAGGGGTAGGGGCAGAGACCCCTCCCCCAAGAAGAAGAAGGACACACAGTGCAGCCTCCTCTAATCAACGAGCCCCTGAGACTTGGGCCTTCTGTGGCTGGTGCCCTTGGGACCCTCTTCCCCCCCCGGCCGGCGGAGGAAGGGGTGGTGCCCAGAGGTTTGCTGCCATGTGTTTGCTAATTGGAGAACTGGCTCAAGCCCTCTCCTGCCAAAGAGGTGGTGAGCTTGAGTAAAAGGCAGAAGCAGATTCTGTAACTCTTGTGTGTGTACTTTGGCTTCAGGAGGCATTGCCTGGGCAGCAGCCCCAGCCTGGATGGTTCTGGTGCCTTGTGCAAGCTCAGGCTGCACCGTCTGCCTTGCTGTCTCTGTTGCATGGCTTGCCTTGGTCACAGGGCCCGGTTGTTCCCTCTGTATTGAGTGGATGGGTGGGAGTGGGGTGGGGTTGTCACTGGCTGCTGGTAACTTCTTGCTACTAAGAGAGGAGCCCTGCAAGGCCAGGCAGCTGGATTTGCCTCTGTGATTTGTAGCAGCTTAGTTTATGTGGGCAGAAGCAAACTTTATTTTGCATCTGCCCTAAATGAGAAAGGGTTTCATACCTGAATGCATGTTTGGTAGTCATTTTAAGCAGACATCTCCCAAATTTCCCTTAAAACACAAAGAAGTAGGCACCTTTCTCTACCATGCCCTCTTTGCTAATCCTCCCCTAGTCTCAATATTATACTTTCAGCTTCTAGTAGCTGCTACAACATTGAGGGCAGGAGGAGGGCACTAGAACCTCCTTGCCTTAAGATCTTTGAAGGGCGTGAAATGGAGCTGAATCTGGTGGCAATTCTGTACATAACCATTGCGACCTGAGCCAGGGTAAAATGCAGTCCCCTAAGGCCATTTTTGTGGTCTCCTCGGACCCTCCAGGAAAAAAAAATGTAGAAACAATGGGTTGAAATGGCACAGTTGCACTTTTGCCAAGTTTTCTTTGGGGTGGGGAGAGAGCATTTTTGAGAGAGCACCCCCATATCCTTACAAAGTCCATTTTTAAACATACCTTTTGTCCACTAGAAGGCTTTGAGTTTAATAATAATAATAATAATAATGCTCAAGTCTACTCAGACGTATGACAAACTTTTCAGTATAGGTATAGACTGAGCAGAAGTGGTTTGTCATCCTCTTCTTCTGGAAGCGCCCTGGGACTGTGCAGCCTGCCCAAGACTACACAGGTTGGCTCTTCTCCCACATTGAACCTGTGACCCCATAGCCAAATACGAACTCACTGAGCTGTCCAGATAGCATTTTAGTTTAAATCCCACCTCTTAAAATAGTTAAAACCATTTCCAGTCATCAAAAGGCATGGGTAATATAGCTTTGCATTATGTAATTGCCATGTAGTTATTTTTTTAAAAAAAACATGCAAATTAGGCAATGTAGTCCTTGCTGGGGGGTATGTAAAAAGACCCTGCTGAGTTTGCCCACCTGTGTCTTGAGAAATGCCATTTGGTGTTGGCAGTATGGGCAGGTTAAGCTTCCTTGGGGCATCCTAGGCTTCGAGACTTACCAGAGTGCTTTCTGCAACCTTAACTCTTGAATATCTGTCTTCCTGCCCTGGACAAGGCAGAGGAGGGACCAGGAGAGGAAAACCATGGTGGTGGCTATAACTAAGGTTTCTCCTCTTCATTGTCAACAAGCTACTTGCTATTTCTACTGCATTATGGGTCTCGAGTAATTTATCCGTCTGAATCCCAATCCTAATCCAGAGAACTTGAGTGGGAGCAGAGATGACTTGTCTGTCTTAACATTTTCCTTTATCAAGTGCATGGCCTTTCCCCTGCGGGCATTGCCAAGCCACCTCTTTCTGCCTTGACTCCTGCCTGTTGGTGTCTTGCATCACTTTCGCTTATGCTGTAGCCTGCCGTGTCTTCCTCCTCCTGTGACCCCTGACCCTTGCCAGGTCAGTGTGTGTTCCTATGTCTTCCTGTTCCCTTTGTCTTCTTTCCCTGATGAGTAGCCTCAGATAAGGCTTCGGTGGATGCTTGATGTAGGAATGTAACTTGTTGGTGCCCTCTCTTTCTTTCTCTGCTGCTGCCATCGCCACTGCCGCTTGTCTGCTCACCTGCCCATCCCTCCCTGTACACATCCATTGTTGGTTGGCATATTCTGTCTGATGCCCCTCCATGCTGCCTCCCTGCAGGTAATCCTCAAACATTTGTTTTTACCAGATCAATTGAAAGTTCAGGAATGTTGAAAACCGGGCTGTTTATATTTCCTGTCTTTATGGCATTTGCCGTGGAAGTGAACCCGAAGACTTGCTCCCCCTCCCCAACCACCCACAAAATTAGTTTCTGGCTGTCAGGATGACATGACTTCCGTATGCCTTCCTTCCTTCCTTCCGTTGTCTTCCGTGGATGTGTCTTTTATCCAAATAAAGTACTCAAAGAGCTGGCACATGCAGCCATGGAATATGCCAAGGGATAAATGCTTACAAATCACAATGGTATTATTTTAGCTTTGTCCCTTACTGGTCTGGCTGTGGTATTTCAAACTGCTTTTGAGAGGCATAGAATATAAACAGCCCTGGGGATCTTAATTCATGGGAATCAACCTGCCCCTTGTCTTGCCAGCCTGTATTTACATGTCATCCTGTAGCTGCTCTGTCCCCAAACTGTAGTTCTTTCCAGGATAAATGCATGCACTGGGTACCGTGTTTATAGCAGTGTGTGGGAGGGGAGGGGATGGAGTTGGAAGCAGCAGACGGCAGACTGGTCTCTGTCAGCCACGGTCATCCTACTGTTTCAGGGGTTGGTAAAACTGATTCCAGTGAACAAGCATGAAGGTATATTTTGAGCATGTTGTTGTGACAAAGTAGGACCTAATAACTGCTTTGGAGACTGGAAGGATACTCATAACACTTTGTGATATTTGCAGTTGATTGTCAACGGTTTCATGTTCAACAAAATGAACAGTCAACAACTCCCCTTCCCACAGTGCTGAAATGATGAAAGGTCTTTGGGATCCAGGGTTGTGAGCTTTGTTCAGCTGTGGTATTCAAAACCTATTCCTGGGTGCAGAGTCCACCTTTCAGTGTTTTTTTATTTATTTATTTAATGCTCATTGCTTGAGAAAGGGCCAGGCTGTAGGAAGACCAGTAAGATTGTAGGCCTCAGTTTTTGCCCAACACCTGCTGAAGAAAAATTTTCTACAGGTTTTTACTACAAGCTGAGCTCCAGTCCTGGTTTTCCACTCTGCCAGCCTACTTGGTTTGGCGAGCTGGCTCTGAGATTCCATTCCCAGCCAGCATGCCCTTAGAGCAGTTTGCCACAGTGTCCTTGGGTAAGGAACGCTTAGCAAAGTGTTACTCCTGTTACTTACTGGGAGGGGATATGGGGGGGGGAGGGAGGGAAAGCTGCCCTGGGCCAAAGCCAGTTGCCACCATTCACAGGGCATCTTGCTTTGCATGCTTCCCCCCACTTTCACCCACCCTACCTGTAGTCTTAAGAAAATGGCTCTTGCATGACCTTACAGTTAGGCTTGGGTATGCAGCAGCTCTGCCTTGAATCAAAAGCCCTTTGTGCACAACTGCCTCCCACCTCCCAAAAGCTTTCCAGTATTGAAAGGAGAAACTGGAGACACTAGTCCCTCTGGGGAATGTTTTGCAGCCCAGGCACTGCTTGCTGTCACCCACTTTTCACTGCTGTCTGATTCACTTAGTGTCTGTGTTTTTTTTTTCTTTCCTC